TGATGTATCATATTCTTTTGATGAAGTAGGCAATGGTAGACAAGAGAATCTCTATGTATCTTCTGTAACACTAAAATTTTACCATCACAACTAGACGTGGATGTTCAATGTTTTGAAGAGAATCAAAATGTCTTCTTGAGGAAATGTTTATCGTTTATTGCTTTTGATATTGTTATTTTTAAGACAAAGCACATACCTTGGTATAGGCCTCGTCAATGGGCCAGCCTGGGCTTTAAAGAGGAGAGATAAAATAATGGGCCGGCCCGGCCAGCAAAAAAAAAAAAAAAAAAAAAAAAAAAAAAAAAAAAAATCTAAGCTTGGCCCATGGGTTAGGCTTGAAAATGCCCATCAGGCCGGGCCAGGCTGAAATGGGCCTACTTTATTTTGTAATTTTGTTAATATTGATGTTTTTTTTTGTCAATTCTTTATTTTTTATGTTTTGGTATGTTTATATGTTTCCATTTTTTTTCCCCATAGTTCTCTATTTACATTTATTATTTGTTTATGTCTTTATTTTTTTCTTTGTTCATTTCATAAATTCACAATACATAAATTAAAATTTAGAAAACTACAACAAAAATTCATATGAACTGAAACGACCCGACCCAAATTCCACTTTGAGAATCGGGCCTAATCCTGTTTAAGACTGACACCTGGTAACTGTGGGTCGTAAAAGACCAAAATACCCTGAAAACAGTAACATAAATCCTGAGCCCCTAACTCGTGGCTGCGCCTGATAACTGTAGGCTGCCTACGTACCCTTTCTGGGGGATCAAGCCACACGTAGTTCTTTCCTTTGTTCTTGACCTGCAACTGGTTCGTTAATTTGTAACTGGTTTAATTATTCGTAAAACATACTCTAGGGTTGACATTTCTGGAGTATCCGGGGCTCCGTTTTACGATCCGTCAAATACTATACGATCCTGGAAATACCTAGATCAACATACTTGAAATTGACTACGATCCAACGGTTCAAACGTATAGAACCCAGAAATCGCATACTAGGCGAGATCCGTTCGGGGTTCAAACGTTATCCGAATTAAGATCCGCGAAATCCTACGCGCTCGTGAGGACTGGGAGATCATTCTAGGACTGACTGTGGTCCCCACCCTGCTGCCCACGCACCGCCACACGCGCTGGCAGCGCGTGGTGCATAAAGCGATAAAGCCTCGCCGGAAAATCTCAACATCTCTGTTCAAGACTCATATCCTAGGTAAAACACCCTATTTGGAACCACTTTTGTTCTTGGACCTACCATAAAAAGTGGCCGGAAGTGGCCGGAACAGTGACTCGAAAACCGGCTGAAACCTAACTCGTAAATCGAGCTATCTACGATGGAAATTTCTGAAATCCTACCCAACCAGCAGCTAGAGCATGAAAAATAGCTAAAAATCCATATCTCACTCGTCCGATTTGGTGGCCGGAGGTGTCCGAACGAGCTTCGTGAAATTCCATAAAAAACTGTCCAAACCGCCCTGTTTCGTGGCGGTTTCCGGCGTCCACACCAGCGGATCACGGCTGGGATGGGTTAAAACTGAAAGAGGGGAGTGAGGTGGTTCGTTTGGCACTGGTCTTGCTCAATTTGGTGGTCGGAGCTGAGAGAAACCCTCTCCTAAAGTCGGCTCGTCGAACTCGAGGAGGAGAAGAAAACTGGGTTTATAAAATTTGAAGTTCGAGATATTTACGGTTATGCCACTGAACTTCTTTTGCTCGTAACTCCTTCGTTACAACTCCGATTTGAGTCCACTACAAGTCTACGGACTCGTTTTGTCGCGCTCTACGCAACGGTACAACTGGAATCCTCAAATTCTTTCTCGGTCAAAAAGTCAACTTTTAAAATAATAAAATATTCTAGGGGTATTTTAGTCTTTTTTTCCAAATAAATTAATAATTAAATATTAATTTTGGGTTTGGGTTATTACATGAACTCTTGTGACATTCTCTTCACCGTAAATCTCTAAAAGAGGACATGGAAGAAGTGCCTTCTAAGTTGACATAGTTTGATGTCACTCCAACATTATTGATATGGCTTAAATTCAGTTGTGGTAAGGTGTTTGATGAAACATATATAAATATCAAATGGTGTAGCATATAATCATTAAGTTGATGATATGGTTTATAAGTTGTTGATTGTGAAGTGTCTCCATTTCCTTTCACTTTAAAACTAAATTTATATTTATATAAAATATATGGGCCTACGGGCCGGGCCTATGAGCCGGGCTGGGCTTTAGACACCTAAGCCCAAGCCTAGCTCACTAAATATCGAACCGGGTCGGCTCATGGCTCGTAACTGCCCGGGTCGAACTTTTTCTTGATGGGTTGAGTGGACTCCCATCAGCCCACGGGTCCGTGGGCTGAATGATGACCCCTATCTTGGTATGTACCTTGTGGCATGCAATGTCCTTAGAAGGTATTTACCCACTGCTTACTTAAATGGTGCTCTTCTGCGTCTCCCCTAGGATGCTTCGAATGTGGCATATGTCTCCCTTATGACGTTTTGGTAGATAACTTACGTCTCCCTTAGGACATTTTGGTAGTTACCTACGTCTCCCTTAGGACGGAGAGATAAACGAGATATGGGCTCTTTTTAAATTTTTAATTTTATTCTCACATAAAAGTTAACTAAGGTTAATTATGGGATATGTGTCACCTTTTAAGGGTGATGGTGAGCATACACATTTAGTTAATGTGATGAAGAAAAAGCTCCCAAGAGGAAAAAGTTAATCACAAGTTATCCATTAAACGAATATTAAAAGAGAATATAAGAGGTGATTTTTAACATGGGATCGTTTATCATAATTGATAGTTTTGTCTATTAACAAAAATAAAATAAAATAATTTATGAGTAAGGTGGGGTTTGAATTCTTTATATTGCCTTGTAATCACACCACACATTAGTTCAAATGGAAGTATTTATGTAGGGATCAATATGTTATTTACTTACTATTACTGCCATATGGCAAGAAAAAGAAACAAAAATTTGTATGACCCTAACCACATAAAAAAAAACTAAAAAACTATTATTATTATTATTATCATTATTTTTGTGTGTGTGTGGATTTTCATAGAATTTGTAAAATTGTTGCGTTTTGAGAAGGAAAAGCATGTTAATATATAATAATCTAGACATTTGACTATGAGATTTTTATGCTGTGGATGTTGATGGCTTGATAATCACTTTTTAACCTTGGCCTACGGAATATGAAATGCCTAGTTTGTAAAATTTTATTAGTCTTATATTCATTATCATTTAGCTTATACTTTATGCCATTGTGTTACCATTCAAACCAACTAATTTATTATGAATTTTGGAAAGGAAGAGAATATATTATATCTGTAGTTGGTAAAAAAGAAAAAGAAAAAGAAAAACACCAATCAATTTTGAATGGAAAAAAATAACTAGGTCATGCAAAGCAAGGATTTTGTGTAAACTCGCAAGCACATTGTTTTTATGTTGTAATTTGAAAAGGTAAAATTGAGTCTGACAGACTGTTGAAAACTCATATAATAATAATAATAATAAAATAAAAAAATAAAAAAATAATATTTTGAAAATAAAAGGAGATAGATATCCTTTTGGTTATTACAAGGCCACATTTGCATGTCCCTTTTTTTTCCCATATAAAAAACCACACAAGAAGCCCTATTTGGACACCACTTCACACCACACCACACCTTCATTTTACACATATTTCTAGAGAGAGAGAGAGAGAGAGAGAGAGAGAGAGAGAGATGAGAGGGAAGCCCATTTGTATACATATTTAGGGCATCAGCAATCAATGCATACGCACAACACAAACATAACAAAGAGAACGAAAGAGAGAGAGTGAGTTTCTAGATAGAGAAAGAGAAGACAAACACAACACACGAAACCAGAACACACCACACCACCATCATCACCAAATATTATTTTCTTTTATTTTTTGAGACAAAATAAAATAAAATGAAAATTTATTTTATTTATTTTGCAAAAAAAAAACATCTAGAAAGGCTCAGGGCTTACCTATATTTATAGCCTTTGAGCATCCAAGTCTCTCAATACCAAAAAAAGACAACAAATAAGAAAAAGAAAAATCCTTTTGAGCTTCTGATAAGAGAAATGTGTGTGCCTCTGTCGCTTTGTTTTCACTGAAGAACAAGACGATCTGAAGGGAACCGATCGCCTTCTTCATGCGTCTTTGATTCAGTCTCAGCCTCCGATCCTTGTGCTTTCTCGGTTTTCCAGCAACCGATCGGTGAGTAAATTCATATTTTGCTTTTTGTTTTTTTTTTTTTCGTTGTTCGCTTTGTATTTTTTCAAATTTTTAGATAATCGGATTGGTGATTGCTTAGAAATCGATCTGATTTGGATTATTTATTTGTATCGTTGATGAAGCCGTTTGATTCTTTCGTTCAATGTGGAAGTGTATTTGTTTTTGGTCGTAATCATCGTTGCTTCAATGCTTAGGTTGGTGAAGGTGCGTGCTTTTGGCCGAAGCTAATGACTGATTAAGAGAAATGAACAAAAGATAGACAGAAATGGAATAGATTCATTTTATATTATTGAGTACATTTACTATTTACTTTGTTGCTTGGTTTTTGAAAAGTAGATCTCTTCAGCTATATTATGTAGCCCCATAATGGTATCCATACTTTTTCAGCATCTTACTTTTTCTCTATAGATAGCAATTGAGGCAAGCTTCACAGAATTTATCTTATTGTGTTGTTTTGATTTTCTCTATTTATCACTGTGGTTTCAGTTTTGTAGTAGTTCTAAATTATTAATAGTATGATACTATAAATTTGTATGATTTATGTAGTCCGACTTGTGCCTGTAAGGGGGTTTAAAATTTCTATTTTGCTTGCTCAAAGGGATTTACGTTTGTGGTATAGTTTCAGTTTTATGCTTGTAACAGTAAATTATGTTTTAATTAATAATTTTAGTGTTTTCTTTCCTGATATTTATGTTGCAGAGTATCTGAAGGGATTATTGGGTGGAATGTGATTTGCATGGGCTGAGGATGCCAGAGTTACGAAGTGGAGTGCGCAGATCAAAACGGCTTGATGATCTCCAGCCTTCCTCACAACCACCGATTGGCCAAGCCGAAAATTGTGTACTGCCTGCTCAGAATAAACCTCGTAGGAGAGCTGGTGGTGGAAGGGGAAGAGGTGGTAATGCTGTAGCAAAAGGTCCTTCACCGGCAATACCCACAAGGGCGACTGCAGCTGGTAGAGGTCGTGGTGTTAGGTTGATAGATTTAGACCCTGAACCTTGTGAGGTTCGTCCTGAAGCTGCTGCGTTAGGAGCCGCCGAACCCATTTATAATCGTGTAGAAGTTGTAGCAGATAAAGATATAGCGATGGAGGGTGGTGCAAGTGCGGATAAAATAATGGGAGGTGAAGAGGAAGCAGGCGGGACACCTGTTCCCGATAGGGTATATACCCTGTACTTATTGCTTTTCATTGGATTCCTTTTTCCTTTTTAGTGTTAGACGCGGGATATTAATTGCATTGATTTGGGACTTCTATTTTGAGAAACAGCTATTATGACTGTATACTCTGCAGGTAGATATTTAGCTGATTATTAGCATTAAAAAAAAAGTTCTATGTTCCTCACTCTACTAGTTCAGTAGATGTGGAATGGACTAATTCGAATATAATTAGGTGATGATTGTTATTTCTCTGTGAAACGAACTTGAAGATTCTTGTACGCATATTGAGTTTTGCCCTCAGTTGGCCGATTCACCAACAGTTTCATTGTGATAATTACCATTAATAAATGTCTTGTTGTCCATGCAGAAATTTAAGTGTTTCTGTTGCTTGGTGTAGGTACAAGTGGGTAACTCTCCTGTGTACAAGGTGGAAAGGAAGTTGGGCAAGGGTGGTTTTGGCCAAGTTTATGTTGGTAGAAGGGTTAGTGGTGGCACTGATAGGACAGGGCCTGATGCAATTGAGGTATTTAATATCATTTTGTGGAAATTTTATTTTCTGAATCACAAATATATGATCTTTAAGATCCTTTTTACAGGTTGCTTTGAAGTTTGAACACCGAAATAGTAAAGGTTGCAGTTACGGCGCTCCTTATGAGTGGCAAGTGTACAGGTGAGTTTTGTTTATTCCTGAATATGTTGGAAAAAGATTACATGGTTGCCTTTAAATTTTATCTACATTAATCTTGAAATGTTTCAAATGTCTTATCTGATTTCCTTCTATTTACGTTGTTAAGTCATCTGAATGGATGTTATGGAATTCCTTGGGTTCATTACAAGGGTCGACAAGGTGACTTTTACATTATGGTAAGTTTTGTTTTGGAGTTCCTTACCATCTGATTGGATTCAAAACTTATTTACATTGTCTGATGGATGTTATTATATTTCAGGTCATGGACATTCTTGGACCCAGTCTTTGGGACCTTTGGAATTCTGTTGGCCAATCGTAAGATACTCTATCTCTCTCTCACGCACAAACACACTCAAATTCACACAAGCACACATAAAGGACCCCTGAAAAACCAATTGTACAAGAATCTACACCCCGACGTTCCCTGTGTGCAACAGAGTTTATTTCGGTCCTTTAATTCACATTATTATGTCTGCAACAGGATGTCACCCAATACGGCGGCATGCATTGCAGTTGAGGCAATATCAATTCTTGAAAAGCTTCACTTAAAAGGGTAAGTTTTATTGGAAGCTTTGACTTATTCTCTTTCGTATAAATAGCTCATGAATTTTTCATCTCAAACTAGGTTCGTGCATGGAGATGTAAAACCAGAAAATTTTTTACTTGGTCAACCTGGAACACCTGATGAGAAGAAGCTATATCTGATTGATCTTGGCTTGGGTATGTTGCCCTCATGTTTCTTCATTGCATGTTTTCCTTTAAAGTATGAACTATTTGTGTTTCATGGTCAGATATGGTATTTCTGTTTTTAGTAAGGAAATTTAAGCGATATGAAGCAAATCCTATTCCCATATTTAGTATATAATGCTTGTATAATGTTTATATTTTGTTTCAGCATCTAAATGGAAGGAAGCATCTGGTCAACATGTTGAATATGATCAGAGGCCTGACATATTCAGGTTTGTAATGTTAGGACATTGTTCTATTTGTGCTTCTGAGACTTTATTTGGCCGTCCTTTATATATTGACATTACTACTTTTGACAGGGGAACAATAAGGTATGCAAGTGTACATGCACATTTAGGTCGGACTGGAAGTCGAAGGGATGATCTTGAGTCCTTGGCATACACATTAATATTTCTCATTAAAGGAAGGTTACCCTGGCAAGGGTATCAGGTGAGTTGGTATCGTTGTTAAATGTGTTTGTAACTTTGTATTCTGTTTTCATATAATCTTGACAACCTTCGTTCACTGTTTTGCTTGAAATTACAGGGGGATAACAAGAGTTTTCTTGTTTGTAAGAAAAAGATGGCCACCTCCCCAGAGTTGATGTGCTGTTTCTGCCCTCCCCCATTCAAACAGTTTCTTGAAGCTGTTACAAATATGAAATTTGATGAGGAACCAAATTATGCAAAGTTGATATCTTTATTTGAAAGCTTGATAGAGCCATGCATGCCATTAAGGCCGATAAGAATTGATGGAGCTCTTAAGGTGATTTTGATTATACATTTTCGGCTTTTTTCCTTTACACTTTTCTTTTCTTTCTTTGACTTTCTATTTGTTCAACATTCTGCATAAATAGGTTGGGCAAAAGCGGGCAAGAATGTCTATAAATTTGGAAGAAGATGAGCAACCAAGAAGAAAGTTCGTTTAGGTAGTCCTGCTACCCAGTGGATTTCAGTGTATAATGCACGTCGTCCAATGAAGCAAAGGTGAAAAATACATTTCTTTAATTTGATTTCCCATAATGTGTGATTGTGCAGTGAAATTTTTCCTACATTTGCTATTTTTTCTCATTTTCATATAAACATATTTTATTTCCATACAGAAACATTAATAAAAGGTGTCAGCAGTTGAAGTATTTTAAATGTTTGATTTCATTGAAAGGTTATACAGTTTTAATTCTTCTTATGTAATTTTTCATGATTCTTTATCTTGACCACTATTTGTGCCTAAGCAAATTAGCCAACTTATGAAGGATGACAATGGCATTCCTTTTTTTGGTCCATGTGCTGGTGTTTTGTTATTAGACATAAAAGATGAGATTTTAAACTTTCTATTAGTTTTAAGCTCGTGACCCTAAATTGTTATTTTCATCTTTTACTTAATATTGAGATCTTCTGATATTTATTTATTTGGTATCTTTTGTATCTCATTCTAGTGGTTATTTAAAATAGGTTTCTTATGTCTTCTCACCTATTCAAGTTCTCTAATAAATTAAATGGGTGGCACTACACCATGTTTGTAGTCAGAGAATAAACTACACTTTACCCCCTCAACTTTTTTCACAATTCGTATCTGGTCCCTGTATTTTAAGTTACAGCAATGACAACACAGGGACAAACAAAATGGAAAAAGTATCAGATAATTAGGTGTAAAGTGTAGTTTGAGATAAAATGCGTAGTGATATATTATGGACTTCTCATAAATGATAATAAATGGTTTTGATTCTGACTTTCTTGAAACATTTGATAATGATGCTCCTGATGTTTGTTTCTGTAAGAAATACCGAATGAATAGGGTCTCTACCAATTTGAGGTGATGATGAACCTAAGTTCTTATTTATGGTATATTTTCCCCCAAACCCATGTTTATGTGCATGGTAATGGTTTTCTTGCATGGTGGTTTTTCTTCTCCTTTCTCTTCGTGAGGAAACCAAGGGGCATGGTCTAGGCTCAAACCTAGGATGGCCTCTGTAGGGCAGTGGCTTCACCACTTAGGTGTTCCCACTGGACTTTTCTTGCCTAGTATTAAGTAAGCTTCTTGCTGGACATGTAGATATCACTACAATGTGGCGGACACAAGGCTGAGCCAGCATGTGGACAAGGGTAATGAAGATGGATTATTTATCAGCTCTGTAGCGTCTGCATCAAATCTGTGGGCCCTAATCATGGATGCAGGGACAGGTTTCTCTTCCCAGGTTTATGAGCTGTCAACTGTCTTCCTACATAAGGTTAGCATATGAAACAAGTGTATTCTATCATCCTTCTGTAAGTAATATACTTCTTGAAATATTGATCATCTTGATTAATTCATTTGGGACAGGATTGGATCATGGAACAATGGGAAAAGAATTTCTATATTAGTTCAATAGCTGGTGCCAATAATGGGAGTTCCTTGGTTGTTATGTCCAAAGGTTTGCATTTATTTGTACCATTAAATAAATAAATAAAAAATGCTATTAGTTTTGTATAAATGTATGTTGTGTGCATCTTCACCTCTTTTGCTTTCATATATCCTGTGGTACTAGTCAACGGTGAAATATGATTATCTTCTTATTTTGCCAAATCCATAGTCACTTGTTTCTCTGAGTTGTCTTCAACTGGTGCTATATCAGGGTTGTGATTGAATCTAGTTTTCTTCTCATATTCAGTCTTTTTTTCATGCATCATTCTTAATCTAGGATGCCCTTTTGCAAGTTACCTAATTCATTTTTCTTTTTATTCTAGCAACATTCTGTTTAAGATGCTTTTTTGAATTCTGTTCTTTGAAGTTTCTCCCAGGAGACATGAACGGCTTTCTTTTCGCACCACTGCACACACCTAGTTATCCTCCACTTGCGTTTTTCTTCCTCCTACCACCGTGTTTATATTCTTTATCTTCAATGCTTCTCATATTTCTTCTTCCTTGGATGGCCTCTGCACCATGCTTAACTCCGCTGCGGTTCGTTATTCTCTTTGGAACATCCTTGCTGATAAAATCTCCTGTTGATATTGTGATTCCAAATACTTTTCCTTCCACCCAACATTAGCTTTGATTGATTTTCTTCCATTAGATCTCACCCCAAATAGTTCTTTTCATGGGGCAATGTAATAACATTCCTTACAAAACCATTTCCCCATTCTAGAAGAAGCTCAAGAACATACCAACGGGGTTTTAGTCAAGTGGTCGGGGCTGTGCAAAAGTCATGATAAATTACCATAAATAGAGTTTGGCAATGCAAAAGTCATGTTAAAGTACCATAAACAGAGTTGTATCATGAAGCTTGGTGTTTTTTTAACTAAAGGTCGCAGAAAGAATAAATTTTTTGAAAAATTAAATTCTGAACTTTAAAAATTAAATTTTAAGTCCTTATTGGAATGTGTGTTTTTGCATGTTATAAGTGCCTTTGTGCATGCACTTTGCTCATCTTCATTTTTTGCTGGTAAATGAAACATTAATTTTATGAGACTCTTCTTTTTGCTGCATATTTCTCTTTACTAGACCACTGTCCTAAGCCGTGATTTATACTCTATCGGATTGCATATAGGTACTCCTTACACTCAGCAGTCATATAAAGTGAGTGAATCTTTTCCATTCAAGTGGATAAATAAGAAGTGGAAAGAAGGTTTCCATGTGACATCCATGACAACCGCTGGCATTCGCTGGGGTGTCGTTATGTCCAGGAATGCTGGATATTCTGATCAGGTATATTATTACTCACATTCAAGTGTGTCGAATTTTTGAATTTGTAAATTTTGTTCACCTTTCTTGTTTTCAAGATAGCTCATTTTCCCCATCTTACATTTGATTTGAAAATACTAGGTCGTGGAGCTTGATTTCTTATACCCGAGTGAAGGTATACACAGGCGATGGGAAAGTGGTTACAGAATAACATCCATGGCTGCCACTACTGATCAAGCAGCCTTCATTTTGAGCATTCCTAAACGAAAATTGATGGATGAAACTCAAGAAACTCTGCGTACCTCTGCCTTCCCAAGCAGCCATGTAAAGGTAAGATAGAAAACATTGGTGTGTGATGAGCATCGTGATCTTGTGCTAATTTTCTTTAATTCTTTATAACACGGAGTTCAAATATCTGGGTTCTGAAAGTTCAGTTGCATAGCACCATAGATGAGGTATTCATGCCTTTTTTTGTTCGTTTTCATGAATCTCAAGATAATGAATCATCTTTGATGTTTGATTTTTGCAGGAAAAATGGTCCAAAAATCTCTATATTGCATCAATTTGCCATGGACGGACTGTTTGCTAATTTGTGTGTGTATATGTGGTTTATACCTGAAAAATGCTATTCAAATTTTTGAGAGCGTTTTACACTTGATCTTTGAGCAGCTGGATAATCTTTTCACTGCACGTTGAGGGAAAAAAAAAATTCCAACCATCTCATGAAATGTCTTCCTAGTTTATGAATGTAAAAAGTAACATAGATGAATGATACAATTGATTTTGGGAAAACATGTGCCCTCAACAACCTAGGATGCTAAGCAGCAGTTTGTCAAATACATATCGCATACTTCACCTAGCTATGGCTGCTAAGTTGATTGCTTATTAACTGCAAATCATTCTCCGAATTAAACGTCGTCATGGAAGGTGTTTGCTGTTCGAATGTTGTGGTAAGTAGCAACAAAAACACTTTGTTTGGGAAAATAGGTTTAAGTTATAATTCTTGAATTGGGCCAAAGCACCCACGGTAAACTTTGTTGAGAAAAATAGATCAGAACTTTTTTGAGAAACAAAGACAACATTCAGCTGCTCTTCTTATACTGTTGGAAATTACTGAAATTGTTTTTGTTTTCTTGAAAACATAAAAAATAGTGGACACCAATTGGCTTTGGAAACTGGTAGGATTTTTCAGAAGCTGTTTAATAATTTGGTAGTCTTCTCAGTCATTCAACTGTGCAAGAACTTCAAAGTAGAGTCAAAGAAAAGTGGTGGTGAGTCCAAAGAATGAGAATATAGGGCCCGTGTGTGTACGGCGTCGGTAGGGGAAATTTGACTTTTCAACTAGAATTTTCATGATGTTTGTCTGCCCACTCCAATATAAATCAAATATTGACTTGACTTGGTGCTTGAATTACGACAAAAAAACAAAAAAGGACTTAGTGCTTGAATAATGATTTATACAAAAGATATCATATTAATAGCACCAGTGCAGTGTTGAATGTCTGATATGCGGTTCCATCAACAAGAAAAAGATAAGGCCTTCACATCACAATGGAGTCTCTAAGCTGGTGGTGATATTGTTACTTATGATAAAAGCAAAAATGCTGAATCATCTACAAAGGGCCCGCTTAGTAACCATTTCATTTTCATTTTGCCTTTTAGCGATAAAAGTATTTGCCTTTTAGAGATAAAAATAGAACATACGGTAGAAATGAGAAATGAAGAAGGGTAAGAAGTTACAGCCTTCCAAATAGGAACTTGCTAATCCATGGGTATACCATGAAGTTACAAAGGTTGTACTTGTGAACCAACCCCCTAAAGCGAAATAGGCACAAGGAAAGAGCAATAGGCTAGACCAACCTACAAAAACGAAACGGTCCCTCCGTAACCAGTCATCCATAATATCAAATAAATCATTTTGGTCTTTGGTAAATTTACCAAGGGCTATAGTCATAGTGATCCTCCTATTCGACTACTTCAACCATTTTCGAACACCTCGTAGCATTTTCTGGAGGAATGTGTTGAAAGCATTTTAATGTTGAGAAATGTGGCAAGACATACCCTGATATGCTTGTCATTGACTACAAAACTTGGGTATGATCTTCATTGCCTAGCTTAATTAGAACCTAGGACCAGACAAATTTGCATGATTTAATTGATAGTGTTTCAAACCAATGTACACAAAATCTTTAGGTAATTGATTTAGCCTCAAAAGTCAAGATAAAGGACAATTGCCCAGTCCAAAAATAAGGACAATTTCCTAGGCCTACCGTCTGGATTTGGAATTATACATAGCACACAGAGTTGTTTGACCACGAGTCTCAAGAGCTTATAGAAAAATATCTAGTTTGTGAGTTTCTACCATCAACACATTCATGATCCATCTATAAGTATCTCGAGTTGCTTAATTAATTAGCAAAGCAATATGGCCAGCCTGATGAGCCTACCTTTTGCTGCATACTTGATCTTCTTCTTCACCATAAACCTCATGCCTATGCCTTGTTTTTCTTGTCCCCAAGAACACAAAGAAGCTCTACTAGAATTCAAAACTTCATTAACTGAAAACTTAATAGCAGCAAACTCTACCGATGAAGCAATGGTAACCGAGTTGCTAGAGTCATGGAATTCCAGTTCAGATTGTTGTCAATGGAACCTGGTCACTTGCCATTCCCATGCAGCATCAGCTTCAAAACATATCGCTGGCCTTGACATTTCCTATCTGGTCCTCAATGGAAGTGTGCCTTCAGATGTCCTGGCTCCACTCTTCCGAATAACAACGCTCATGCTGCTCAACATCGCTTCCAATTCGATGCAAGGGGAGATCCCAGGAGCTGGTTTTGCCAATTTGACCAAGCTAGTATATCTTGACATGGGGGAGAATCGATTCAATGGTTATATCCCTCCTCAGCTGTTTCAGTTAAGGTACCTAGAGTACCTTGATTTAAGTGGTAATTTCATCCAAGGAGTGATCCCTGCAGAGGTCGGAAACCTTACTGAATTGCGTAAGCTGTCACTTCGACAGAACAAGCTATCAGGAAGGATACCATTGTCTGTGGCGTCTCAGTTGAGGGAGTTGCAAGTATTGGACTTGCAGGATAATTCTCTCTCCATGGAGATTCCAGCAGAGATTGGCAACTTGGTGAACATTTCAACACTTGCTTTGAGCAACAACAATTTGAGTGGTGGAATTCCACAATCAATACAAAAGATGAGCAAGCTGGAAACACTTGCGCTGGACAAGAATATTCTCAATGGTGATATCCCAGCATGGCTATTTGAACTCAAGGAGTTGAAGAATTTGCATCTTGGAGGAAATAAACTAAGGTGGAATAACACTAATGTCACCATAGCTCCAAAATGCATGTTATCTCAATTATCCTTGAGATCCTGTGATGTTGGAGGTCCTATTCCGATTTGGCTTTCCAATCAAACAAGGCTTGATCTCTTGGACTTGAGTGAAAACCGGCTCGAAGGAGCATTTCCAGTGTGGCTAGCTAAACTACAGGTTGGGATCCTATTTTTATCGGACAACAAGCTCACAGGTTCCTTGCCGCCACCTTTGTTTCAAACTCAAAGTTTACAAGTCCTTGAATTGTCAAGAAACAACTTTTCGGGAAAATTGCCAGAAGATATGGGTGAGAACTGTGCAGTCATGATACTCATGCTGTCTGAAAACAATTTTTCAGGGCCAGTGCCAAAATCCATCGGAAACATATACAGACTACTTTTGCTCGACTTGTCAAGGAACAACTTCTCGGGTGAGCTTCCAATCTTTAAACCTGATGCACTTCTAGCGTTCGTTGATATTTCGTCAAACAAATTATCAGGTAAGGTTCCTGCTACTTTTGGACTGAACACTATAATCCTCTCACTAGGCCAAAATGAGTTCTCTGGTGAGTTGCCTAAAAACTTGTCCAATCTGAGCCAGCTTGAGCACCTTGACCTGCATGATAACAACGTCACTGGAGACTTGCCAACATTTCTCACTCAAATATCTTCTCTTCAAGTACTCAATCTGCGAAACAATTCCATAAGAGGATCGATCTCCGGTGCTCTGTCAAATCTCAGCAGTCTCCGGATCCTGGATCTGTCTAACAACTTGCTTAGTGGAAATATTCCTCCAAGTGTTGGAAATCTTATTGCAATGATTGAGACTCCAGACATCCCAACAAATTTGCCTGGTGCATTCTTCTCCTTCTCAGTTGAATACGACCTGATTGTAAATTGGAAGAAGTCAAAGCAAGGCATATCTAGCCACAATCTTGACATCTACTCCCTTCTAGATCTGTCAAATAATCAATTTTCAGGCAACATTCCATCCTCTTTGGGTAGGCTGAAAGGCTTGAAGCTGCTTAACATTTCTTCCAATGAACTTTCTGGGAGCATCCCATTGGCATTTGGTGATTTGGAGAGTTTAGAGACCTTGGATTTGTCTCACAATAATCTGTCAGGCCAAATACCGCAGACATTTGCAAAGCTTCAAGAACTGAACACTCTAGACTTGAGCAACAACAAACTTGTTGGTCATATTCCTGAGAGTCCCCAAATGGATACACTGATTGATCCAAACATATATGCTAACAACAGCGGATTGTGCGGGGTTCAAATTCAGTTGCGTTGCCCGGAAGAGCACCCGCCATCTGCCAAAACAGATGAGAGTGATGAGAAGAACGATACATGGTGGTTTTCATGGGCAACTGCAGGGATTGGATTCCCTTTCGGATTTTTTTCTGCTGTGGCCTCAATGTACGTTGTTGGTTATTTTAGTGCTGTTGCAACCAGAACAAGAAGGGGCTCTCAATGTGTATGGCAGAGGTAACAATGTGTGTGCTCTTGAGAACCATAGCACACAAGAATAGTCACAACAACCTTTTGAAGAAGGAAACAAGAACATCTACTACAAATAATGTTTGTATTTCTGCTGATCTTATGTTCATCATATATATTTTGAAGTGTAGTAATTAAGAATATTAAGGAATGATGTTAATTGGACCCTCTCTCTCTCCCCTTCCCTGCCTTTAGAAAACACTAGCCCCATGTGCCAATTGGTTTTATTTTTACTTTTTTATATTTTATTTTTAGAATTAAGAAAAGATAAACATAGGTAGTTATGTTCCAGAAAAGCATGACCTATTATCTGATTTTGTTTTTAATTTTAATTTTATAAAATGAAAAATTGAATTTACCATATTATCCTCATTTAATTAATAATTTCAATTCTTAATGTTTGAATTAACCAAGGACATTTTTTTGTATTTTGAATGTTTCACCATTCTCTGCATTTTGCTTTATATATATAGATATATAGAGATGGTGGCAGTTGCGCGGAGTTAGGGAGTATTATTTGGCCAGGCTGAAGTGGACAGCCTGAGGCCCGCTGAGTCAAAGCCCAGCTTGACCCCATAGTTTGACCCATTGGCCTGGTCCATTCTAAGTTTGGATAAAGTTTGGGCTTAGGATTTGAAACCTTTGGTTCGAGTAGGCCTTCCCATTTGCCTTTATTTATTTATTTATTTATTGTTGTTTTTGTTTGAGCCTAAAAATTGACACACCCAGCCCAGCGAAAATGAGGCCCAGAATAAGGCTGCAAAAAATCAAAGCAATTTGGTCTTCAAGAAACAGGAAGATGGAAGCCCAAAATCTAGAAAAGCCCAGCCTAAAGCTTGGGCCTCACAGGCCCGTTGTGATAAAAAGGGGGAAGCCCAGAGACAGGCAACAATCCCACGTGACATCTCTGGGATAAAGAAAAGTCAACAATGGCAACTGTCATGAAAGAAGTGATTGAAAAGTTTATGTCATCAAGCTCATCTGAAAAAACCCTGAAAAAATCCGAAGATCAAAATCCCTCTTACATATATATATATTCAGAGATTTTTTTTTATTCTACAGAGAGGGTAATTCTCCCAAAGAGATAAGCAAGCTACAATCTCAGAGAGGGATAAGCAGGAAAGTTGTGAGTTGTCCAGAAAAGAAATCAAACTAACCATCACGGATGAAAACTCACAAGGGGCAGTTGAAATTGAGAAAAGAGATTAGGTTCTTTTTCAAGAAAAACAGGGAAGTAATTGCCTATTTGAAAGCCTATCTGCCAAACTGATAAAATCCTACTTTCTTTCTTTCCATTTAAAAAGAAAAAAAGGGGGAGATATCTTTTGAAAAGATTTGCCGCCCATTATTAAACAGAGTCACCCTACTCTTTTTACTATAAATACAAGAAGGAGTGAACAGGGTAAAGAACACACAAAAAATTCAACATCCAGTCAAACAAAAATCTTACACAAGGAAACCATCAGTCAAATAGACAGCTCAAAATCAACCAACAAGCCCACTTGAATTTCAAGTGAAACCAGCTTCAGATCAGAATTCCCAAGGCCCAGACTTAAGAAGTAAGTCATTCAAAACGAGATTTCTCTCGTTACAAATTTGGCTCAGCAAAAAACCAAGACAGGTAGAGCTTGAGCTTTCTCCAAATATGGAAAACCTCAACAAAATTCACAGTGCAGTCTCTAGCCCACTGAAGTCCTCAAAAACAGTCACTCCTGCCCGTGCAGACTGAGAAAACCGCAGTTCTGCCCACTCAAAAGCTTCACAAAAGCATGAGGTACATTGAAGCTCTGCCAGAATCAACCTTTGGTATCGATTTATAGTTGAAACCTAGCAGTCAAAATTGTCAACGGTCCAGTCCAGCCCAGGCATTTCCAATCTAGCCCTTATCAGAACCTTCCATCTCGACAGAAATGTAGTTCCAGCTGTCTCTTCATCTCTCTCTAGCTTGAGCATTTATTGTTATATTTTTGTAAAAGGCAGTTCCGCCTAAAAACAGTTTAAATCCCATCAACCATTCCGACCAGAACAACCTCTTTATATTGAGATAAATTATTAAAGTCCTCATCAGTCTGAGGCAAGAAAAGAACTTACTTGGGAGATATTCCTCACCAAAATTTACAATCTCTTGTTTGCAGGAATCAGTAACTTGGGACGCAAGTTATCCATTCCAAACTAAGTCTGCTAGAATTTTTATTACTAGCAGTGACACGCTCGCACACCAAAGAAAGCTGACTTGTTGACCAGTTTATGGTTCTCAAGGCAGTGGGGAACTTTGCCCTTCCATCATAGGAGTAAACGCAAAACGGGTGAACAATTTGGCACGCCCAGTGGGACTTCTCAGCATACATATTCTCATTGAGTTCTTCGCAAGTTCATGAATACTGGAAGCTCTAGCCAGAACCCACACCACGACATGGAAATAAACCAAGTGGCCCTCAGGGAAGGACTGGAATCAGAAGAGAGTGATGCCCGGCATTCAGCACATGGCAGCACAGGGAGCAGGAGGTCCAGGACCGGCTCCAGAAGGATGAACCTGATACAGGAATCTGTGTTACGACAAGAGGTCACAACACAAAGGAGCCAAGATACTCTAAATAATATGACAGCCATGATGCAATGGCAGGTCAACAGGCAATTCAGGAAGGACCGAGAGGCTGCAATGGCCAGAATTCCCAATCCAGATGAGGTGGTCCAGCAACTAGACCTTCCCTATGGTCCCCCACCAGGATTGGCATGGCCATATCAAGAGAATCCTCTTGTTGCACAGGTAGCTGGAATACCAGAACGAGGGGAAATCCAGGCTGGACACAGGGAAGGAGCTTTTCCTATCCAAGAACGTCAGGCCCCAATGCGGCAAGAAGGTCCTGCGCTAGGACAAGTTCAGCAGAATCAACCAGAGCCTCAGCCTGTTCCACAACAAGCGGCCCCACAAGATCACCCTATGGCAATTCTGCCTGAACAGCCAGCAGTATTACCCTACAGGCCCAGAAGGATGGACCCCAATCCATTCCTTCCACCTGCAAGAGGAAGGAGAGGCAGAGGGGGAAACTACCCTTATGCTAACAATGACAGGAACAGGCTGGGGGCAAACTGGAGGAACCACCCAGGTCTGGAAGAACCGGAGGAACACAGGGAAGAAGTTCTGCCTAGGCCATATAGGGCAAAACCCCGAATTAATTATGCCCAGCCAGAACAGGGGCAAAATCTCCTCCCTATTAATGCTTTAAATGACGTGAGGGCATTACAAAGGATGATCAGGGAAATGATGGAGCCTGAGGCCAGGAGGGGAGAGAGACCCACCTACAGAAAGCCATATCCACCTTACATTGATCAGATACCCTTGTCCCCAGGTTTTAAAGTGCCGAACTTCACTTTATTCAACGGAGAGGATCCCCATGCTTCATCAGTCGAGCACATAGGCAGATTTTCTGTCCAATGCATAGCCATAGAGAATAACCCACTGTTAAAGCTAAGACTTTTCGGGAATTCTCTCTCTGGACAAGCTTTCACTTGGTACACCAATCTGCCAGCAAATTCCATTCAGACTTGGGAACAAATGGAGAGTGCCTTCCATGACTACTATTACAGGATTAAGCCAAAAGTCACCATCAGTGACCTTGCCGCCCTCAAACAGAGTGAAGATGAACCTGCCCAAGACTTTATAAACAGGTTCAGGAAGCTCAAAATGAAGTGCCGAATCCCCATGGAAGAAAGACACTTCATCCAAATGGCTCAGGCTGCCCTCAAGATTTCTCTAAGAAAAAGATTTGATGGGATACTGTTTGGAGATCTGGCAGAACTAGTAGATAAAGCGTCCAAGTACGAGGAGCTGCTCAGGGAGGAACAGCAGAAGAGAAACTCTTCCAAAGGCACGTATTATAAATCCCCTTCTTCCTCAATACATATGATTGAAGTAGAGTAAGAAGAAGATACAGAAGGATCGGAGGAGAGAGAGGTTGCAGTTGCGGAAATGGCAAAATTAAAGCATCCCATCAGTTGTAAAACTCTTACAAAGCCTCCAAGAGATCAGAAGCCGCCACCATTCACAGGAGGGTTTGTTCCAAACAAACCAATGCAGAACAAGGTGTATTCCTTTGATCTGACCAAGGTAGATGCCTTGTTTGACGAAATGTTGCTGCAGAAAGCAATAGAGACACCTCACAGAATGCCCAAACCAGAAGAACTCAAGGGCAGACAGTATTGCAGACGACACAATTCTTGGAATCATTCTACCAATAATTGTGTTGTTTTCAGAGATGTCATATAGGAAGGGATAACAGCATGAAGGCTGAAGCTGGCAGAAAAACCTCCATCTGTCACCACAAACCCTTTTCCCCCGCCACAAGTTAACATGGTCAACCTAAATTGGCCAGAACGGAAGAAGGGCAGACCAGCTATAGAGGCTGGCTTCAGTAGAAGCAGAATAGTTTCAAAAGAGACTATGGAGAGACCAAAAGCAACCATTTCAGCTGGAGTAGTGCTCTGCAGCAAGTGCAAGTGTGAGGCTGAGCTGGAAGTGGTCCTGGAAAAACAGGAACTGCCCACTCTAAGTGTTTTTGACCGGATTGGGACCACGTCCCATGATAGAACCAGATAGAGAAACTGCCCCAGGCCTATCCAATCCAGCAGAAGAATGACTAAGCAGCTCAAGGAGGAAATATCAATAAAAATGCCCGGAAGTGAGAAACCTTTGGCGGCCATCATTGAAGGCAGGTGGTATTCTGTCGGGAAGAATGGCAGACCAACAATGGAGCTACAAGAACTCAAAGGAGGAGGGTTCAGAGACAGTACTGCACATTCCTCAATAACAAGAACAATGCACAGCTGCTTCCAGAGACTAATTCTGCCAAAACAGGGAAAGAGCCAGAAGTACTTCCCCAGATAGAACAAACAATCTCTCAACCACAGAGGTTGACGAAAGCAGAATCCTTATAGAGACCTTCTATCCATCCTGCCTCCATCTCAGGAGATCTACTTAAAACTCCACAACCAGAGGAAAAAACCGATCCCATTCCAGGAGAAGGGCAAGAAGACTGGGCTGAGGAGTATGAAGAGGAGCAGCTGGATTATGAACCATCTGCAGATGACCAAAATGCGCTCCTCCGAACAGAAGAACTGGGAGAATGGACGGAGGAATACGGTGGAGAACAGATGGATTATGACGGAGAGTTGGATGCAGAAACTGAGGCCTTTGGTGCAGAATTGGAGGACTTGTTACGTGTTGACCTAGGCATCAATATGGTGTTCATTCTGCCAGAAAAGTTCTGGGCCGTAGAGGGACAAAAAAGCACTCTGGACGGAGATGTATTTTCCCAAGAGAGTTTTGAATGCAGGTTGGCAGAAGCAGAAGAGATGCCAGAGCAGCAAGCAGGCAATCCCAGGACAGAAGGAACTACCAACAAGCTGGCTGCAGATCAGCTTTGTTTCTCCAAACCAACCAAAGAAATGGCAAACCACCTCAGACCCTTGTTTATAACAGCAAACTTTGGGGGTGGTCCTATCCCCAAAATTATGGTAGATGGAGGTGCAGCCATCAACCTTCTGCCTCACAGAATGCTGAGCAAAATGGGCAGAACAGAAAGGGATTTAATTCCAACCCGCTTGACCGTCACCAATTTCGCAGGGGGCATCACCAAAACCCTTGGGATCCTGGATGTGGATGTTTTAGTAGGAAGCAAGAAGCTGAAGGTTGCATTCTTTGTGGTAAATACTACTTCTACCACTTACAATGCACTGCTTGGCAGAGACTGGATTCATCAGAGTCTATGTGTTCCTTCCACTCTTCATCAACAGTTAGCTTTATGGAATGAAGAAGGCTACATGAAGATAGTAGAGGCCGATCCACGGCCGTTTCTACCTTCTGCCATGTGTTGTGAGGCAAGGTACTATCATGATGACCTTGGTCCTTTCACCTTTTTTGGAGTTAACCAGAACGGCCGCCCCCATGGTGTCACGGCCCAGAGGTTCATTGAAGAAGGTCTAACCAACTCTTTGGAGGACTGGAACAGACCTTTTATTCTAAACTTCCGAAACTCTGATGTTTAGTCCTAATCAACGAGAAAAGGATCGAGCTGCAACAATCCGGTCCATTACAAAAAGATTGTTGATATACTGGGAGGAAAGAAAGCTTTCTGCGCAGAATCCAGCCATCAATATAGCAGAATTCACTCATGAAAGCACGGAAGGCCAGGAGGAAGAGGAACTACAGGAGGAAGTGTTAGATTTTGCACCAGATGCACTGGATGACTCTCTGCCAGAGGTGGAAGATCCTTTGCAGGAAATAAACTTAAGAACAGGGGAGGATCCAAGGCCTACCTTTATCAGCGCACTATTGAAAGAACCACTTAAGAATGAACTCATTGCACTTCTACAAGAGTTCAAAGATTGTTTTGCTTGGCATTATCATGAGATGCCAGGATTAGATAGGGAATTGGTAGAACACAGGCTGCCAATCAAAGAGGGATACCTTCCAGTCAAACAGGCCAGAAGAAGGATGTCCATGGACACAGAACTAAAAGTCAAGGAAGAAATAGAAAGGCTGCTCAAGGCAGGATTCATCAGGCCAGCCATCTATGCTGATTGGCTAGCTAATATTGTACCAGTTCTAAAAAGAAAAACCGGGGCAGTCAGAATCTGTGTGGATTACAGAAATCTGAATGAGGCCTCTCCCAAGGATGAGTACCCTATGCCAATGGCAGACATGCTAGTAGATGGAGCTGCCCACAACAAGATGCTATCTTTTATGGATGGCAACGCAGGTTACAATCAGATCATGATGGCAGAAGAAGACATCCACAAGACAGCCTTTATGTGTCCAGGACATATAGGTGCTTTTGAATACATTGTAATGCCTTTTGGCTTGAGAAATGCAGGGGCTACCTATCAAAGGGCAATGAATTCTGTTTTCCATGATATGATAGGGCATTCCTTGGAAGTTTATATTGATGAGGTGGTGATTAAATTACCAGAGGAGGGAAACCACATGACAAATCTAAGAAGAGCATTCCTAAGAATGAGGCAAAATAAACTGAAAATGAACCCAAAGAAGTGCGTTTTTGGAGTTCAAGCGGGAAATTTCCTAGGATTCTTGGTCCACCAAAGAGGCATAGAGATCGACAAAAACAAAGCAAAATCCATCATAGAAGCTTTGCCGCCTAGGAACAAGAAAGAATTGCAAAGTCTCTTAGGAAAAATTAATTTTTTAAGGAGATTTATATCCAATTCTGCAGGAAAGATCCAACCTTTCTCTTCTTTGTTAAGATTGAAACAGGAACAAACCTTTAAGTGGGAAGAACAACACCAACAAGCTTTTGAGGAAATCAAGCATTACCTCTCAAATCCACCAGTTCTGTCCCCACCAAAGAGAGGCAGACCACTTAAACTCTATATATATGCATCAGAAATATCCATTGGAAGTTTATTGGTTCAGGATAACAAGGAAGGGAAGGAACATGCAGTCTACTACCTGAGCAGAACTCTAACAGAGGTGGAAAGAAAATATTCTGCAATTGAAAGACTTTGCCTAGCCTTGTACTTCACTGCTGTGAAGCTTAGACATTACATGCTGCCATACACCATCTATATCATTGCCAAAACAGATCTGATCAAATACATGCTAACAAGACCAATGCTGAGAGGCAGAATTGGAAAATGGACCTTGGCCTTGACAGAATTTGCCTTCAGATATGTTCCTCAGAAAGCCGTCAAAGGACAAGGTGTGGCAGACTTCCTAGCAGATCATCTCGGGGAGGAGATTGAAAATATGGACTCTTTAGACATAGCAAATGCAGATCTATTAACCAGAGCTCACACCTCCCTCAACAATCCTATCTATTCAGTTCATCTTGCACCTTGGAAGTTATACTTTGATGGATAAAAAACTGATATAGCTTCCGGGGCAGGAATTGTTTTGGAAGAACCACTTGGAATCAGACACTGCTACTCTTTCCAATTGGATTTCCAGTGCACCAACAACAGGGCAGAATATGAGGCCTTAATCATTGGCTTGGAAATGCTGGTAGAACTAGGAATCCAATCTGTGGAAATTCTGGGAGATTCCATGCTGGTTTTAAAACAAATTGCTGGGGAATATGAGTCCTTCTCTAGCCGTCTACTTGGTGGCAGCTAGGAATCTTCTGACAGAATTCAGAGAAGCCACTTGGGAACATATCCCAAGGGAAGAAAATTTTGCAGCCAATGAATTTGCTCAGGTGGCAACAGGCATACAAATGCCCGAAGATTGTGTACAAAGAATCATCAGGATAGGAAAGAAAAGCCTACCATCTGTTTTGACCAGGGGGATGGAAATAGATGTCAATTCTGCCACAATCACTGAAGATGATTGGAGAAATCCTATCATGACTTACTTACGATATCCAACTCTGCCCTCTGAAAAGAGAATCAGAATCATGGCTTTAAACTACCTTATGTGGAATGAAGATTTGGTCCGAAAAAGTAAGGATGAGGTGCTTTTAAGGTGCCTCGGAAAGAAAGAATACATGAAAGTCATGGGGGAAACCCATGAAGGAATCTGTGGAGCACATCAAGGTGGGAGAAAAATGTGCTGGTTAATTAGAAGATATGGCTACTTCTGGCCAACCATGATGAAAGATTGCATTAACTATTCCAAGGGATGTGAATCTTGTCAAAGACACGACCCGATCCAGCAGGCTCCATCAGTTCCCATGAATCCAGTGGTAAAGCCATGACCCTTTAGAGGATGGGCAATGGACCTCATTGGCAAGATCTATCCAGCCAGCAGCCAGCAGCACTGCTTTATCATTGTTGCCACGGACTATTTCACTAAGTGGGTAGAAGCCAAGGCTGTTAAATCCAAAGATTATACAAAGATTTGGCATCCCAGAATCAATCACAACTGATAGGGGATCCTCTTTCATATCTGGAGGGATGCTGGACATGGCAGAGGCATTCAAAATCAGACTGCTCCAGTCCACTCCTTATTATGCCAAAGCCAATGGACAGGCGGAATCAAGCAACAAAGTGATCATCAACATTATCAGGAAAATACTTGAGAAGAATCCAAACCAATGGCATGAGAAGCTGTCAGAAACTCTGTGGGCATATAGAACTTCAAAAAGAGAAGCAACTGGCATGACTCGCTATGCGTTATCCTACGGTCATGATGCAATTCTTCCTATGGAGATAGCTGTTCAGTCCCTCATAATTGCTCACCAACATAACTTAGTAGGAGAGAACTACTCCGAGGCCATGCTGCTGGAACTGGAAGGATTGGATGCAAGCAGAATTGACACTCTCAACAAACTCCTGGCAGGAAAACAAGCTGTTGTTCACCCGTTTTGTGTTTACTCCTATGATGGAAGGGCAAAGTTCCCCACTGCCTTGAGAACCATAAACTGGTCAACAAGTCAGCTTTCTTTGGTGTGCGAGCGTGCCACTGCCAGCAAAATTTCTAGCAGACTTAGTTTGGAATGGATAACTTGCGTCCCAAGTTACTGATTTCTGCAAACAAACGATTGTGAATTTGGGTGAGGAATATCTCCCAAGTAAGTTCTTTTCCTGCCTCAGACTGGTGAGGACTTTAACAATTTATCTCAGTATAAAGAGGTTGCCTTGGCTAGAATGGTTGATGGGATTTAAACTGTTTTTTTTAGGCGGAACTGCCTTTTACCAAAATATAACAGTGAATACTTATGCTAGAGAAAGATGAAGAGACAGCCGGGACTTTATTTCTGTCGAGATAGAAGGTTCTGGTCTGGACTGGACTGGAGATGCCCGGGCTGGACTGGAAACGCTTGGGCTGGACTGGACCGTTGACAACCTTGACTGCTAAGCTTCAACTTGTAAATCGATACCAAAGGCTGATTCTGGCAGAGCTTTGATGTACCTCATGCTTTTGTGAAGCTTTTGAGTGGGCAGAACTGCAGTTTTCTCAATCTGCACGGGCAGGAGTGACTGTTTTTGAGGGCTTCAGTGGGCTAGAGACTGCACTGTGAATTTTGTTGAGGTTTTCCATATTTGGAGGAGACTCAAACCCTGCCTGTTTTGGTTTTTTGCTGAACCAAATTTGTAACGAGAGAAATCTCGTTTTGAATGACTTGCTTCTTAAATCTGGATTTTGGGAATTCTGATCTGGAGCTGGTTTCACTTGAAATTCAAGTGGGCTTGTTGGTTGATTTTGAACTTGTCTATTTGACGGTTTTCTTGTGTAGGATCTTTGTTTTTTTTGGTGATGAATTTTTTGTTGTTCTTTACCCTGTTCACTCCTCTTTGTATTTATAGTGAAAATTAATAATGGGCGGCAAATCTCTTTCAGAAGATATCTCCCCCTTTTTTTCTCTTTTAAAATGGAAAGAAAGAAAGTAGGATTTTATCAGTTTTGGCAGATAGGCTTTCAACAGATAGGCAATCACTTCCCTGTTTTTGTTGAGAAAGAACCTAATCTCTCTTCTTAATTTCAACTGCCCCTTGTGAGATTTCACCCGTGATGGTTATTTCTGGACAGCTCCCTACTTTCCTGCTTATCTCTCTCTGAGCTTGTAGCTTGCTTATCTCTTTGGGAGAATTACCCTCTCTGTAGAGTAGAAAAAAGATCTCTGATTTAATATATATATATATGTATATGTAAGAGGGATTTTATATTCTGATTTTTTCAAGGCTTTTTTTTCAGAACAGCTTGATGACATAAACTTTTCAATCACTTCTCTTATGACAGTTGCCATTGTTGACTTTCCTTCATCCCAGAGATGTCACGTGGGATTGTTTCCTATTTCTGGGCTTCCTCCTTTCTATCACAATGGGGCTGTGAGGCCCAGGTTTTGGGCTGGGCTTTTCTTAGATTTTGGGCTTCCTTTTCGCTGGGCTGGGTGTGTCAATTTTTAGGCCCAAACAGCTGTATCAAGGGCTTACAACAAAAGAGTCAAGAACAAGAGTTTTGAAGAAGGAGAGATAGTCTGGAAAGCAGTTCTGCCCCTTGGAACACATGTGGCTGGTTATGGAAAATGGTCACCTACATGGGAAGGCCCTTTCATAATCAATCAGATCCTTGGAATGGGGGCGTACAGGTTGCAGGATCGGGACGGAGAAATTCATACTGCCCCAATCAATGGCAAATGGTTAAAAAAGTTTTATCCAACCATGTGGGATTCGCAGGCTGTACAAACAGACCCTGGGATAGAGACAAGACTACACTAAAAACTTTTGATTCCTTTTAAAATTACCTTTGTTCTAGGATTATTTTAAGTTTGTTCCTTTTGTGCTTCTACTTCTGGTTCTGTTTATTTCATCAATAGAAATCGAAAACTAAAATTGCAACAAAAATAAACTTTATTTAAAATAAATAAGCCATAGGGCCTTCCCCATGGCAAGCTGTTCATCAAAAAGCAAAATAACAAAATCAAAATCCTAATTTTCTGAGAGTCTCTTGCAGATTGGTCTTCTTGATAGAAAGTTCTTTTTGGAGCAGCACCCCTGATGAATTGAAGCCTCTGCAATCTCCAGGGCTGGCCTAGAAGCTGCAACCATGTTTTGCACAAGGAAAGTGGCCTTGGTCTTGGAGCTCAATCCAGCCCCGAGCCTGTGCTGCACTTCCCGGCGCTCTGCCAGCTGCTTTTGAAGCTCTGCAATCTGTTTCTCCAATTTGTCCGCAGTAGCTTTGGCTTCTTTATACCCCACCACCATCTGGTCCAGTTCTGCTTTCTGCTTTGCAAAGTCAGCCAAGTTGGCTTCATGAGTGGCCTTGCAGAACTCAGAGGTTTTGAAGGTGGGCCTCAGATCCTCATAACGGTCGTGAAGGTTGAGCACATCCCTTGCCAAGCCAAGGCTCATCTCAAGTATAGGTTTTGGGGCCATGTTCTGTCTATGTAGCTGATCCAGATCCTTCATCAGCTGGTCAAAGGCCTCCCTGCCCTCATCCAGCTCCAGTTCCGTAGACTGCCAGATCTTCAGTCTCTCCATTGCCTCTTCCACTGCCCTGGACTTTATCTTGCCTACAGGGGAGCTGAGCTTTTCCAACTTGTCCAGCTGGGCATCTAGGTCCATGGCTTCGAATTCTGCCAGCTCCGGGTCAGCAAAAGAGGCCGTGGCAGATGAACCTGCAAGGGAATGAATATGCATCTGTAGAAGGAAGCATAAGTCAAAACAAGGCAGAAACAGAAAGGAAGAAGACAAAAAGCACAAAAACACTCACAGCAACAATCGGAGGCTGCAAGGGGGTGGTCCTCACCGCCAAGGTCCCAGCAGTTTTTGGTATTTCTACCTATAAAGATTTGAGGGTTAGAGAGACAAAGGAACATGACAAAACTACATAAGACAGGAAAGGACAGAGTAAGGACAGAACTCACCATAAAGCTAGGAATGGCAGCAGCCACTTTTACTACGGTTTCAGGAGCAGCAACCACTTGTTCTGCCTGCTCCCCAGGCTCTGATCTGGATTGCTACGCCTGGTCCTCAGCTGCTGGAGCAGCAGTAGAATGTTCTGCCTCTGGATCATAAAAAAGGGCCACCTTTGAGTTAGTTAGCCCTGTCCCTATATCTTCCTGCTGCTTCCGAGCCAAGGCAATGCTCTCTGCTATCACCTCAGCAGGAATTTCCTCCTACGGATGCATAGAAGTCAGAACAGAAGAAATAAAAGTGCAGCAAAAACGAATACTGCCAAATAAATAAGACTCACCTTTTCTTCCATTGTCTTGGCCTTTTCTTGAGGCCCATCTCCTACTTCTTCTAGCTCTTCCAGCTCCTTCTCTTGCTCCACAGCTTCGAAAGCCTCTCTCAGATCATCATCCGTGCCAGAAGTGGTGGTAAGAACTGCCCTAGTTCCCTTCGGGGCCACATATTCTTCTACAATCTTCTTTCTAAGTCTTTTTGACTTAGTAGGGGGAGGAGAGGGACTTCCAGCTGCAACGAACAGAAAATGAGCCTTAAGAATTATGGCAGAACAGAATTATGAAGAACTCAAAAAAAGAAACTGTCAAAGTATACCTGGAGTCACAGATTGGGCAGTTTCTTTTCTTTTTCTTCTAACAGGAGAAGTGGCCTCGACAGGAGTCTGTTCTATCTGATCTTCTTCTTCTTCTTCTTCTTCCTCTTCTCCATCCCAGGAGGGCAGCTCCAGATCCCTAGCAGCAATAACAGAATTAACTATGCAGAAAACAAAAAGTCAAGGGTCAATCCAGTAAAGGAGTGATAGGCGAAGCTGAACAAACATCAAACTTACCAAACACCTCTCCAACAGACAGAATAAAAGATTAGCACCATCACTAAAAACAGAATGGGCAACGACAGACAAAATTGAGAAATTACCTTATATAACTTGCATATTGATGTCTTTAATGGTTTGCACCATGAATTTGTGAGTCTCCTCGTCTGTATGGACAGTCCAGTTGTCCCAACCCTTAAAGAGAACTTGAAGTGCGGTACTAGAAGCAGGCAGATCACGGAATCTGGCCTTCCACCAAGCATCAAACTCCGCAGAACTGCAGGAATTCAGTTCCCATGAAGGATAAAGGGCATCTGCACTATTGTTAATCTTATTCACTGCACATCTGGCATCTTTGTGGACCTCCAAGTCATCTGCATCCCTCCAAGAAGAGCCCCGATTGCAGCTTCTGTATGACTTGAGGGGTATGAGCTGAGGGCAGCCAAGCTGCCTTGCACAGAAATTGGGATGGTAGACTTCTGCCCCCAAATGATAATTTGGAGGCTTTCCTCCTCCGTGAGGCAGATCTCTGGGTAAGGTCACACTCAGGAACTTCTTCCTGAAATTAGTTCTGGCAGATTCTTCTTTTGGCTCCTTCTCAAACAGACGGTGTCCAGGTTGAAACCAAGGATAGGTTCTCCTGATCACCACTTGCCATTGCGCTGCAGACCTTTTGGTACAATGCCTGAAGATCATTAGGTACTCATCAATTGACCTCTTGGGGACTTCTGCCGACAACAGTGGCTGAGCCAGAACCTGATCCTCAAGCAGAACTATGTCTGGAAACCTCAATTCAGGAAAATAGACCTGCAGCCAGATCTGAATCATCCAGAAGGCACCAGGAGCAGACAGATTTAGCGGATACTCCAGGGTTGCAGTATGCAGGTTCTTGAATAGATGAGCCAGAACTGTAGGCCCGAGTCCAACATCAGTGTGATTATGCAAAGCTTCTGCCAGATGTCTATACTCAAGCAGAACTGTAGAAGAACGATTTGGCAGAATAAACCTGTTCAGCCAATACAGAAGAAACAGCATATGCTGCTGGTCCTTATCCTTCTCAGCACTGAATTTTCTGAGATAATTGGAGAATGAGCAATTCTGGTTGATCAGGGCTGGAGAAATGTTGAATGGCTTGGTTAGCTTCTGCTGGTCTTTCTTCCTGTGATAATCACCAATAGCATCAACAAGTCTTCCATGAGGCCTAAAACCAAAAATCTGAGCCATATCCAGCAGAGTTGGAGCCATTGGGCCTATACGAAAGTCGAAAGTGTTACTGGCAGAATTCCAAAAACAGAGGGCAGCAGCAAGCAGGTTCTCATCTCTGTTGATAGATTGCCTAGATAGGAGTATGGCGTCATAAATTCCAGCCCGTTTCCAGTGAGCCCCAAATCGGGGAAGAAGCCTGTCAATCCAGTTAGCCCACTTGACTGGACTGTTTCTCACTTCACTAGATGGGAACAAACGGCTCAAGTTCTTGCTAACCCAAGAATGAGAAGCCAGAGCAGAAGAACTCTCGAAACATAGAGGGGCCTCAGCATCCTTCTTCATCAGCTCTGCCATCTCGGGAGGAACGAGACCAAACCAGTGAGGCCCCAGCACCAAGGTATTTTCGAACAAATGGAGGACATTTTCGTCTAGGTTTTTCTGGGCAAAAGGATGGAGCTTGCTCCTAACCTCTATCGCATGCTTATCAATCCCAATCCCAGTAATGTAATCTGGAAGAACTGGAACAGAGGAAGATTGAGCATGGGATTTTGGGGAAGACATTTCTCGGAATTATTTTTCTAAAAGAAAAGGTTGTCAGGATGGGCAAGGCAAGTTTTAGCAAAAGGGAATTATCGAAAGAAAGCTCAAGGGAAACGAAGTCTGAAAGTACTAGGTTTTCAGGTGAACAGGAACAGTGGTTTTTGAAATTCTTTTAAAGAAGCCAGAAAACGTGGGAAAGAGAAGACAGCGACGTGGAGAAGACAAAGCGTCATCTGATATTGACTAGCTAATAAAGAGCTAGTAACTAAAAACTGCTTCACACGGGCACTAGCTTAGTGGGGAAGCGTGGCAGACGTGGGATAACGGAGGAATTTACCACGCGCCAATTTAATGGTCATGTCATTTAAGTCTGAAACCGTTCCAAAACCGATTTAGACTTAAGGGGGCATTGTTTGGGCCTAAAAATTGACACACCCAGCCCAGCGAAAATGAGGCCCAGAATAAGGTTGCAAAAAATCAAAGCAATTTGGTCTTCAAGAAACAGGAAGATGGAAGCCCAAAATCTAGAGAAGCCCAGCCCAAAGCTTGGGCCTCATAGGCCCGTTGTGATAAAAAGGGGGAAGCCCAGAGACAGGCAACAATCCCACGTGACATCTCTAGGATAAAGAAAAGTCAACAATGGCAACTGTCATGAAAGAAGTGATTGAAAAGTTTATGTCATCAAGCTGTTCTGAAAAAACCCTGAAAAAATCTGAAGATCAAAATCCCTCTTACATATATATATATATATATATTCAGAGATTTTTTCTTTTATTCTACAGAGAGGATAATTCTCCCAAAGAGATAAGCAAGCTACAATCTCAGAGAGGGATAAGCAGGAAAGTAGGGAGCTGTCCAGAAAAGAAATCAAACTAACCATCACGGATGAAAACTCACAAGGGGCAATTGAAATTGAGAAAAGAGATTAGGTTCTTTTTCAAGAAAAACAGGGAAGTGATTGCCTATTTGAAAGCCTATCTGCCAAACTGATAAAATCCTACTTTCTTTCTTTCCATTTAAAAAGAAAAAATGGGGAGATATCTTTTGAAAAGATTTGCCGCCCATTATTAAACAGAGTCACCCTACTCTTTTTACTATAAATACAAGAAGGAGTGAACAGGGTAAAGAACACAAAAAAAATTCAACATCCAGTCAAACAAAAATCTTACACAAGGAAACCGTCAAATAGACAGCTCAAAATCAACCAACAAGCCCACTTGAATTTCAAGTGAAACCAGCTTCAGATCAGAATTCCCAAGGCCCAGACTTAAGAAGTAAGTCATTCAAAACGAGATTTCTCTCGTTACAAATTTGGTTCAGCAAAAAACCAAGACAGGTAGAGCTTGAGCTTTCTCCAAATATGGAAAACCTCAACAAAATTCACAGTGCAGTCTCTAGCCCACTGAAGTCCTCAAAACAGTCACTCCTGCCCGTGCAGACTGAGAAAACCGCAGTTCTGCCCACTCAAAAGCTTCACAAAAGCATGAGGTACATTGAAGCTCTGCCAGAATCAACCTTTGGTATCGATTTACAGTTGAAACCTAGCAGTCAAAGTTGTCAACGGTCCAATCCAGCCCAGGCATTTCCAGTCCAGCCCAGATCAGAACCTTCCATCTCGACAGAAATGGAGTTCCAGCTGTCTCTTCATCTCTCTCTAGCATGAGCATTTATTGTTATATTTTTGTAAAAGGCAGTTCCGCCTAAAAACAGTTTAAATCCCATCAACCATTCTGACCAGAACAACCTCTTTATACTGAGATAAATTGTTAAAGTCCCACCAGTCTGAGGCAAGAAAAGAACTTACTTGGGAGATATTCCTCACCCAAATTCACAATCGCTGTTTGCAGAAATCAGTAACTTGGGACGCAAGTTATCCATTCCAAACTAAGTCTGCTAGAATTTTTATTACTAGCAGTGGCACGCTCGCACACCAAAGAAAGCTGACTTGTTGACCAGTTTATGGTTCTCAAGGCAGTGGGGAACTTTGCCCTTCCATCATAGGAGTAAACGCAAAACGGGTGAACAGTTTTGGTTTTGCCTTATATTGCCCAATATAATAATGTCTTGTATTTTATATTAATTTATTTTTATATTACTTAATTTACTTAATGTCTTGTCTTGTCAATTAAAAATATTAGAAAATCAAAATATGAAAATCCAGTTTTAGTATAAGATTCAATTATACCAATATTGATACCTCAGTAAGTCAATGTATACTTTATACTAAAATCTCATAAAATTGTGTTTGATTATTTAAGATATGTTGAGGACAAAAAATCCAAAGCTGGACCCAAATATATTTCTGGCCCAGTACGACACTTAACTAGGGAAGAAGCCCGATTTGGGTACGCATGATTTCGTCGTATGCGCTTACACGAGTTATGGTCCACGTACCACGCTAAACAAATGTTTAACCCGCCACGCAGAAAGGTCGTAGCAAGCCCGTAAAATGCATTGGCTCTATAAACCCGTGCTTATTACCCTGTCAAGCACCATTTTGGCCTAGCCAGAGCCCTTTACAATACGGCAAAGCTCAAGCTTAAGCACGCCAAATAACACACCACACTAGGCGGAAAATCTTTAGTTTTGCACCAAGACACGCTACAAGCTTAAGTGGGCCCAAGCCACTCGAATGCCCGGGGCTTGCTGAGTGGGTTGTGGTATGGATGGTTACGAGCATTCACAAGGCCCATTGATAAGCCAACAAGTGGAAGTTTTGGGCTGCTTGAGAGCACCAAAACTCAAGCCTATTTCTTGAGCCCAAACATATAGGTAAACATGAAAGAGAGAAAAGTGGCCCATCACCTTGGTAAAAGTAGCCCATCACCTTAAGAAGTAGCCTAGCAACCTGAAAAATATCTCAAGAAACCTCCAGCACATGGCTAAAGCCAAATCCAAGACAAACCATTTTTTAGAACAAAGGATATTCGTGTGTGCAGGCTGTTGGGAGTAAAACACCCTTCAGACTAGCACTTTTACAAACTTATTTCCCCTATCAACTCTTGCCAGAAAATAAGGAAGGAAAGAAGGAGAGAGTGTTGCCAAAGATAGGAAGGTGCCACAGAGACAGCTGCGGGAAGACTTTAGAGCTCTAAAAAATCTTGTCTCGGTGTGTTTGGATTAAAGTGATTTCATAAAAAAGGGTTGAATCAAAGGAAGGGAAGAGGAATTAAGGAGAAGACTTGGCAGATTTGGGGAGAACCAGTTAGAGTTTCTTGAGAAGAAGGAACTTCCAGCACCAATAAAAGAGGGCATCTCCTACCTAGAAAAACATGACAACTAAAGCGAGCAAGCATTCTCACTCTTTGCTGGAACCTTCAATTTCAAGCCTTGTTCCCGCATCTCCTTTCTTTTTCTCCTCTGCTAAACCCTCAAAGAGCGTGACGAAGCTTTCATTAAGTTGTTGGAATTTTGCTCAAGCCACCCATCCTTTCACTTTCATCTTTTCCTCTCCTCCTTCAACAAATCTTCCCAAAATTCCTTCTCCCCTTGATTGAACCTCTATCTCTCATGGGAAATCCAAGCTTTCTCTCTCTAATGCTAAACTCATGAATGTTCAGCTCCCATGCCACAAGCTTCTCAAGCAAAGTCAAAATATTGATTTGTAAGCAGCCGTTTGTTTTGATGGCAAAAGAAACCAAAGTACTTTCTAAGGCTCCAAGAACCTTTTGAAGCACTCTTGGGGCCTTATTCTTGAACTTAGACATAAGGGCAACTCCACCAATTTGCTCTTTACAGCAGCTCAGGCCCATTTATAGCTGCTAGAATAAAAAAAGCCCCTACAAGATATAAGAAATATAAACTGCCAAAAATATCAATGAAAACATTAGGGCTTGTTTGGTATCCTACTAAAAAAAATAGAAATTCAAAATTCATTAATTTCTTTTTAAAAAACATGAGTTTTTAAATATTGATTTTAAGATCTAAACACTTGTTTGGTATTGAACTCCAATATATTTTTAAGATCTTAAAAAAAATGAAATTAAAATTACAACTAGATTCCCAAATTGAAATTAACAAAAGAAAAGGAGAGAGGAAGGAGAGAAAGAGAGAGAGAGAGGGAGGATGGTTTAACACCCCGACCTAATCTAAGTATTTTATTTAATTTTTTTAAACTATGAATTTTCATTTTTGCATTTTGGAGTAGGGGTACTTTAGTCACTTTTCATTCCAAAATGATTTTGAGGAAATGAGCAGCACCATTGCATAGAGCTCATTGATACAAGTCCATAGATAGGCGACTAGCTCAATTCGGAGTTAAAACGAAGAAGTCATGATCTACAGAATTGCAATGGCACAACCGTAATTATTACGAAGTTAAAATTTAAATACCGGGTAATGACCTAAATGGTCCCCCAACTATTGCTCAAATATCATTTTGGTTCACAAACTAAAATTTTCAATTCAAACGTCCTTAAACTTTTTATTTTGTACCAAAACAGTCCCACCGTTAAAAACTGTTAATATTACCGTTAAATTGAGGGGTAAAATTGTCCATATAAATTAAAATATTGCCTAAATAATTAAAAATTAGAAACCTACTATAAAACTTAGAAAAAACTTAGAAAATTGAAAATTTTAAATCTCACCAACTGTAGTCCACTCACCATCCACATGGCTTCTTCTTTTTATTTTTTAAATGTTGAGATTGACTTAAAAATTAATATAAAATTAATATAAAAAATCAGATAAATACAAAAATAAAATAACCAAAAGCTAAAAAGAAAAAGAAAAACAACCTACCCCGCCTAAATCTAGTCTTCCTCGACCATCCCCAAAATGCAACCCCTCCCCTTTCCTTACCCAGCAACAGATCCTCAATGACTTGATGGCCTCACAAAGAGGCTGAATTCCAAAGATTTTGGTCCATTAGATCCCAACAAAAACCCTTCTCTTCCTCTGGGCTTCCGTCGAGCAGCTAGTGGGAACTCAAAGTTGCATCACCAGCAAACAAGGACCTTCAAGCCCATTTCCATGGCTGCCATGGGGTCCGCCATTGCCTCCACCCCCCCTTTAATTCCTACGATGTCGTATGCCCTTATCCAAGAAATTTACCCTAGCCGTCGGATCCAAGCAAAACTGGTCTCTATGTTTCGGTGTTCCCGACTCGGCTCGTAGCTTCGATTGCTCCTTCTACAGCAAGCGTGAGGTTCACGACCAAGTGGTTGGCTACGATGGCTGCGAGCACGACTTTCACCTCACTTACCCCGGAATGCGCAACCGTCAAGCTATGAATTTGGAGGAATAGGTATGTGAGGAGTGTACAGGCAGTGGTCATTTTACAGGAAGATACTCACCTAAAAATACGATTTTGTCTTTCGATTTCACGGAATAATACACAGACTTTGACGGATGGACCATCTTGATACAAAATAAAAAGTTTAAGGACGTTTGAATTGAAAATTTTAGTTGGTGGACCAAAATGATATTTGAGCAATAGTTGGGAACCATTTAAGTCATTAACCCTTTAAACACCAGATCAGATTCTATCCTTGCCTTTCTCTCTCCTCTCGCGATTCTCACTCACTCTCTCTCTCTCTTTTCTCTCTCTTCGCGCAAAACGGCCAGCCACTTTGGTTGGCGATTTCTCCCAACTCCGGGGACCGTTTCAGGCGAGACCGGTCCCAAAATCTTCCTCTCGACGTCCTCTTTCTAGCCTACTCATTTTCGCAGCTCGAAAACTCAAGGATTGGCGGCTGGAACGACGGGAAGTTTCGGCAGCCGCTGCCACGGTCGCCGTCGACGTTTCCGGCCACCTCGCGCTGGTTCAAAAGTGGGTTCTGATTCTGAACCAAAGCAAAATCATTGCAGCATCGCACCGCAGGTATACAAAACGGGTCCTAGATTTTTAATTGAAAAAAGTATATTTCTTCCTTTTTTATTCTACCGTTGTATCTTGATGCTTTCATGGATTCCTAAGTTTGTTGGGACCAAAGTATTTGAGATTTCATGAATTGGGTTAGGGCAGTTTTAATTAGATATTATAGGTATGAGAACCTAGGTAAAGAGTAGATTTTCATTGTAGCAGAGTTTTAGTGAATGGATATTTTGCTATTATAGTTTTTTTTGTTCTCTTTGGCAGAAGTTTTATTATCAAGCCTGTATTAGTTGAGTTTATAATTCTATTTACTTTCTAATTGCATTTCTGTATACTGGAAAGTATAATCCCTACTGCTTATTCTAATTGTATTGATATTTTTACATGCATGTTTTTAATCAAACCAAAAGTTGATATAGGATAAGAGCACACTGCTGTTTTGTTATAACATGATGGGTTGAGATTATTTTTTATGGTATGTATGGTCGAGCTTTGTATGCCATGCCTAGCGACGACAGGATTTTCTGCTTGAAATTCTTGTTTAAGGCTTCAACCTGCAGGGATTCCAAGTAAATTAAATCATATTCGAATTTTCCTTTTTGTTTGTTTTGTTTAGCTGTTAAATTGAAGTAGACTTTATACTCTGGTTCTTTGTTGCTGCAAATCTGAAACCAATAGTTGCAAACATGGAGGTTTCTATTTGTTAAGAGTAGCCAGTAACCCTTAACCTTGGATTTCTTTGTCTTACCAGATGATCTTGTCATTTTATCCCTTACCATCATTTTACTTTCTCTCATTTCTTATAGTTCTGTGTATGCATGAGATGCAGGTTTAGTTTTTCTGTTTCGTGGGTCTTTTTACCAAAAAAGCTCTCTTTATCAGTATGGTTTTAATACTACTGTTATTCCTACGCTACCTGTCTATTTTGCTCTTTATTTATTTTGAGTGTGGGTTTTATATACTCTTTTCGAGATGTATGTTACTATTTCTCAATGTTATGTTTCTTATATTTCAAGGCTATACCATCAGTGTAAAAGGAAAGAATCAATGAATGCATAAAAAACGTAGTGGATCTTACACAAGCTGAATTAGGGGGGACTTTCTTCAAATCCCCAATATTGATTAAAAAAATAGAGTTAATGAATTATGTTTATCGACCTTTGTTCTTCAAGCCTGAAAGGCTTCAATTGACTATTTTAGCGAACAAACTATGGTCTTATACAGTATATCATCCAAAAATATATATACTATTTGTTAACAAACAAGAAGAACACAACATTCCAGATCTTTAATTTTGAGTATTGGCTTTGTTAACTTTGACGAGTTAACTCGGGGAGTTGATCGATCCAACTCAGCCCCATTGTTGATTGGAGTGGACGTGGTTCTGTAACTTTGGGGTCAGGAAATAATTTTGCTCTTTATCAATTTTGGCATAGAGATTTTACAAGTACAAATATGGAGCCCGAGGTGGTTCATGCAGAGCTGGTGTTGCCAACCCACTTGAGCTTCAAGCGGATTCAGATGTACGAGAAGTACCCAAAAGGCCAATCAAGAGGGAGACACTGGAAACACCTCAAGCAGATCATTCAGGCCGAGAATTACCAGAATTACCCACCCAATGAACCCAATTGTAAGTAATACTTATATAGTTAACTTCAAGCTTTCACTTTTACCCCCTTACATTAGTTGTTATTCAAACTGAAAATCTAGTGCTCAAGATGGTATCCCTCTTTGCTATTTTGAATTAACGGTGACTGTTAGTATGGCTGTAATAGTGCGTAAGAAATTTTCTAGTTTGTATAGAAACCATATAATTTTAGCTTAGTATTTTAAGCAATACTAATGTGTCTCAATTTTTTTTTTTTTTTTTTTTTTTTTTTTTTTTTTTTTTTTGAAATTTTCAAATTTCCATGTCCCTGCTTGCAGATGTTAATATAGAGTCACCGCCCTCTATGCATCCATGCAAGAGAATTTGTGATATAACAGGATACGAGGTATTGTGAAATTTTTGCGAAGATATGGATACCTCCTAGTACTTGTGCACATCCTTTTAGTAATAGATGAAACTTGGCTGAGTTGAGCTCCAGCCAGACATTCATATGTTGCCTGTTATGTTTCCTTGCTGTATAGTTATTGAGCTGATCAAGGGTTCTAAGGAGAATTTCTATGACACATTCCTATTGATGTTAACAAATATATTGAATATTAAAATGTCCAAAGCTTTTCTATTCATATAACCAATTTCGTTATCTATTCAGTGGAGATTGATGAATGATCTGCTTCTGTGCACCATGCAGGCACCTTACTATGACCCAAGGACTGGCCTCCGCTATGCCAATGCTGATATCTTCAAGCTCATAAGATCTCTCCCCAATGAATATGTCCAAAGATATCTGGCTCTCAGAAATGCTGCTGTGGTTTTGAAGTAACATTTGGTACTTTTCAGCTTCCCAAGGCAGGATTCACTTTTTCTCGGCTTCAATTATCCTTGAAACTGGAAATATTGTGACTGGTATCTATGCTTAAAACGAAATTTGCCTTGAAGTATTAATAATTTAAATAATATCAGAGATACACTAGTGTATATTATAGTTTGGCATTTTTCTGTTCCCAAGTTTATTTTTGATGTGTAATATGAGTAGTATTATTTCAAATTTAGTAATTAAAAAAATGAGATAATGATGCAAACTGGACCTGAATGTCAAATACTAGAATATTCTTTGATCTCTCTCCCTCTCTCTCATCTTCATGATATCTAATTTCAGGATCAGTTAAAAAGGGAGATTTTAGAGTTATCAATTTGGGCTGTTTGTTATTAGGACTCTTACTATTCACCAATTTGATGCTAAAGGAGGAACAGAAAACAACTGCTCGTTTTGAAATGACAAAATCACACAAATACACCATTGATCAATGTAAGCCAATGCTGTGTCTACCCTAATGAAGGACAACAACATTTAGGTCCTTTGGGATTAGGACCTTGTCCTTACAACTTATGTAACCAAACAAAATGAAACTAATGAAATTTACGGAATTCATAAAACTCGGAAGCATATTGATGCAACCCAAAAATATTAAGGAAACTATTGTTCAAGTTATTCCCATGCAACAATAGCAATACCACATCAGTAAACATGAATAGGAGGTGCCTCATGAGATTCCTCATATTTATTCAAACTGGCAGGTCCCGATCAGCTCAGGGTTAGGCTTCCCACCCTCGGAGGACAGTTGCCCTTGCAACGCGGTTAACCCCAAGCGTGAAGGCTCCCATCCGGAGGTCACAGTTGTGGGTTTTGCACATCTCCTTCACATCTTTGAAGCCTTTGGTCATGTAAGTCCTCAGCTCATTGTTCACCTTTTCTTCATCCCACAAGAAACCTTGGATGTTCTGCACCGCAAAACCCACCAAATTTAGTAAAACTATATTTGCTAAAGTTAGAATGTTGTTCAGAGTTGAATAAGAAGTGATGTGAAGATAAGTATGATACCTGTACCCACTCAAAGTAACTAACAGTAACTCCTCCAGAGTTTGCATATATATCGGGAAGAATTACAACACCTTTCTTTGATAAGATCTGCAATTTAAGAGAGTATAATCATTATTATAACTAAAGATTACTTGCTTAACTGTTCCCTGCCTCTGTAACTTTAATTATCAGGCGATTTAGCACTAACCTCATCGGCATCGGGGTCAGTGGGGTGATTAGCTGCTTCAATGATAAATTTGGCTTTTATGTCATTTGCATTTTCCCTTCATTCAAGAACAACATTTAGGTTATATCCTTGCTCAAAGCTTTCATCATGTGCATGCTGGCAAAAAATCTTGATGTTTCCAATATTTCTATAGTTTTAAGTAGTACCTGTTGATGACACCTCCCAGGGCTGCTGGAATGAGGATGTCACAATCTTCAACCAATATTGAGGTGGGATCTATTGGGTCCCCACCATGGAACCCCTTGACACCCCTCTTCTCCTTCACATGGTTGAGTAGGCTTGGAATGTCTAGTCCTTTGCTGTTCATTACGGCTCCACTGATATCACTCACTGCAACTATTTTGCCACCACTCTCATGGATGAGTTGGGCAGCCCAGGAGCCCACATTCCCAAAACCCTGAGATTGATGCAAATATACCATTCAATTCTTCAATTTATTTCAGTTTAGAGATGTGATTAATTGACTAGGAGCCTAGTGTTGTGTAGAAGTGCACCTGGATAACGAACCGTTGTCCGGAGATGTTCTTTCCATGCTCATTGAGTAAAGCCTCTGTTGCGAAAAGCACTCCTCTTCCCGTTGCTGCATCTCTTCCCAGAGATCCACCAAGATCCTAATTTACACAAGAGACAATATTAGCCAACATCATGATTTTAGCAAAGAGAAGAATGTGGTAGGCACTTGTTCACCAACATATATACTCACAATAGGTTTTCCAGTCACTACGGCAGGTGAGTAGCCATGAAATTTTGAGTACTCATCTAGGATCCATGCCATGGTCTGTTTTTAGACACCGAAAACCCAAAAAAGAAGAAGGGAAAATTGATAAGAAAGTCGGTTTGAAATTCAAGTTGATAAAATTTAGTCTTGTAAAGTACGGAAAGGAAAATGTGGGATGGTGAACCTGTGGACCCGTCCCCATATCTGGTGCTGGAACATCAGTGTGGATGCCTATAAGATCATGTATCTTTTGGGTGAAAACTCTGGTGAGCCGTTCTAGTTCTGAAACACTCAACTCCCCTGGATCACATCCTATCCCACCTTTGGCACCACCGTATGGGATGTTAGCCACCGCCGTCTTCCAGGTCATTAGCTGTGCTAGAGCATTCACCTCATCTGGGTCGACCTACATTCATTTTCCATACAACATACATACACATATTATATACATATTCATACAAAAATAACAAAATAGAAAAAAAAAAAAAAAAAAAAAAAAGATAGTAATATTACTAAGTACCTCTGGGTGATATCTAATTCCTCCCTTCATGGGGCCTCTGGCATTGTCATGTTGAACCCTGAACCCAACAAATGAAGCCAAACTCCCATCATCTTTTGGTATGGTGCACTCAACCTGTCAAAATAGTTGCAAAACCAAAAATCAAATGCCCAAATTATATTGGTTTCGAACCGATGCACATTCCTAAAGTAAGTAAACAACTCAACTTCATCAATCACTAGAGGAGAGAGACACAAGTCTAATTAGATTATACATTTAAAAAGATAATATATTTATAATTACCTTGATTTCCCTAAATGGTATTAGTAAACTTCTCTCAAGCTTGGAGTCCAATCCCAAAAGCCGAGCTGCCAACTTGAAGTTTCTGTTGGTTGCCACCAATGCGTTCATCTTGAATCTGAGTCTCAGTCTGGGAAGCTAAATACTTAACAATTATTCAGTGCCTGCTTAGATAGATGAAAAAAATACATCAATTTATTTGCACTCTACAAGAATTCGTCCAAGTTACATCGAACAAATAAAATGCACAAGCTGATCAAAGGCAGAAAATAAAATAAGAAATAGAGGAAATCAGATTTTCTATAAAACTCTTGTAGCTTACAAATAATTTAATGTGCTTTGGTGCATCAATTCAAGATGGCTTTTCTTATCATAAACATCTGCATTTAACAATGGTGCTATTCAACCAGAGCATCATTTTGCCAACTTAACTAGCTAGCTTAGCCAAGTTGGCTAAAGCGGATGTGCTCTCGACTTTGCATTCAAGTTCGAATCTCCCCGCTTGTATCCAAAATGAAATCAAATTATTAAAAAAAGAAAAGAAGAAGAAGAAGAAAGACATCATATATAAATTTAGAGAAGGTGGAGCCCTGAAGTGAGATTATAGTTAAAGTTGACTGAATGACTTGTGAGAGTGATACCACTAGAAAATTTGCAACTAGTGAGTAGTGACTAAATAAACCAATATGGATGATGTTGATCTACTGGATTCTGATTTGTAATTCATAACATTAATATTTCCACAAAAGAAAAGACAACGAAATGTGCTTGACTTGAGGAATAATTTGAAAAAACCGTGATTAGATTTAGAAACATAATCCCAATTTCCAAAAACCAATAAGCCAACAAACCAAAAAGGAGAGGAAAACCTGGAAATTGAAGTGATCTATTGGGTATTATTTTGATCTATCAAAGTTATAAGCATCTTCTGTCAAATAAAGCAAAAGGCAAAGGGTCTGTTTAAATTAGACGTATGTAAGAAACTGTTTTCAGCCAAAAATAACCGTACGTACGTAATTATAACGAAACAAAAATAATTTGTTAGATCATCTAGTGACAGAGATAATGAAACATTTTTTCGGTTACGATAGATCGATATGTCTAATCTCATATCATATAAAATGAGGTGAACAAATTAGGTCACAATTAAAAAAGCATATGATTCCATGAGCCAAAAAGAACTTGTGAGACTTTTGTGGAAAGAGCAAAGCCATAGTTAGCTAGCTAGCCAGGTATACGTATTTTAATACCACTGCCCTTTGGAGCGGTTCATGTATAAACTTTTGAATTAAATACCAGAAATAAAATAATTAAACTGAATAGAGGACTCCATCTTCATTATTGATCATAGCTTCTCACTCTAACCTTTCCTGCTTTAGGGGAGTCAGTATCACTCAGCTCTTTTTCAGCATCAATTTTCCTTTTTCTTTCTTTTTTTCAATTTTGTTTTTTTATAATTTTAAGAAGACTTGTGTAGGTAGCTTCTTTGTATGTCAACTTTTTTGTCACTTAGTTCATACCAATGCATGAAAAACAAAGTATAATGTGAAACGGACCTTTGCTGCTGCAGTTTTAAGTTACAATTTTACCAAACCCAAAAACAAAAAAAAAAAAAAAAAAAACAAAAAAAAAAGGAGCACGTAAATAATTTTGAGAAAAATAAATTGTCACTATAAAACTTTAATAGTTTACTTGTCCCTCATATCGTATGTGCGAAGAAAATACGATCGCTATAAATTGTCAATATAGCATAACTAATGTAAAACTAAATTCATTTGAAAGCCGGCACATGTGATCAAGTGATAACAAAAAAATTGAAGTGTAAATTTTGACCACATACATAATATTAAGTTGATATACTTAATTGTATGGTTCACAGGTAATTACACGTATTTGAGGTTTACTTTAAGACTTAGTATGTACCTGACGAGAAATTGGGTGAGACGAGAGATAACTCTTCATTACCCTCGAACTTATAGCGTTATTGAACAGATGTTCAAAGCTATTTTTAGAAACTTGAAAGGAGGTAGAAAATAAAAATGAAGTGAGTATACTCTCATTCCATGTCCAGGACACATGAAGCAAGATCGGAAGATGGATGCTTACGTGCATGTAATTAGTGTTACTTGTTAATTAAGGAAAGCTTGAAATTGATAATGATGATGATGAGGGATCGATCCTCAACTTCTTGGACATTTGCATGTACACAAAACATCTTTATATATTTATATATAGATATATTGATGGATAGATATAAGAGAAAACCCAAATAAGAAAGCAAAATTTGGAAACAATTGTGAGAGATGATAGTGTAGAATTGAGGGAGACAATAAGGGATGTAGAATACGAATAAATTTAAAGTCTACTCACAGTGGTTTATTAGTTAAGAGAGAGATATAGAGAGAAGAAGGATGAGCCCAAAATTCAGCGGCAGCTGAATTCAATTCAATATTATTAGGTAAGTATGTGTGCTTCAACTCAACTCAAGGGAATTGAGAGAGAGAGAGAGAGAGAGAGAGAGAGTTGAGCTTAGTGGAGATCATATGTGAAGGAATATGTGTGTGTGTGTATATATGGAGCAAAAACCAATAATAAGGGAATAGAAATTAGGACAAAAATTAGAATCCAATTCTCTACCTACGAAAACAGAAGAATCCCATATTCTACTTCAGAATTCTCTCTCTCTTTCTCTCTCTCTCTCTCTCTCTCTCTCTCTCTCTCTCTCTCTCTCTCTCTCTGTATATATATATATATATATAAAGAAGAAGACAGTCTATCTTTCTATCTGCAGTCTCTGGAAAGTGCAAAAAATGGTGATGATTATTTGAGTCATAAGAATATAAGAGAATTGGGTGGAATATATACGATGCTCTCTCTCTCTCTCTCTCTCTCCCCTACCTGTGGGATTTTGTACCTCCCAGATTCCTACACCACACCTCCACACTTGTCACTCACTATACCGCCTTCCCACCACCCACTCATTAATTAATTTCCACACAATATTAATCTTATTTATCAAACAATCTTATAAGGTATATATATACAGTCCTTCTCCTACAAATTTCTTTTGAATTGGTTTCGAATTCAAGTGATTTTTGAGAGAATATTTATAAATTAGATGGTTTAGATTATTAAAATACAGTGTGTGATAGGGCGTATAAAGGTGTCTCTCAAATAAACTTGTTTGAAGAATCCCTTAACTGAAGCATATGAGAGAGAGATAAAGAGAAATAGAAGGAACTAGCTAGGTACAAAGGGCGAATGCATCTAGAGGTAAGTGCATCCGACGGAAAACCCACATTGCACAGCCAGCCATTATATTTGAAAACTTCTACAATAATTCTAAGTACACTAATTAACTAAACAACATATGTGTGTATAAATATATATATATATAGAGAGAGAGAGAGAGAGAGAGAGAGATGAGCTGAAAAGATACAAAACATGGCAAGTTCAATCAATAAAGCAAAGCATGATGAACACTTCTTAATTCAAATTACGACAATTTAATGATCAAAAGTATCTCCTTTCTAGTTATCTATTAACCAATTAATTTTTCCTGGTTAATTCACGATGATGATTGAATTATGAGACCAAAAACAACAAAAGAGAGCCCTTTAATAATTGATAGACATCTCAATCGTAATGGACCTTAGTGAAATATGATGTAAATATATATCATAAACATCAAAATTTGGACACCTCGAAACCTTAAATGAAATTTTATGTCAAAAATCACTATAGTTGTTTTATAAATAAAATATAGTAGCTTCATTGACTAATTTTCAATAAACTTTAACATAAGATAAATATATATTTAATCTAAACTAAATTACGGGAAATAAGATTGGAATTCTGATGCAAAGTGGGGAGCACATCCGCTCTAATCAATTTGACTAAATCCATATCTAGAAAGTGTCTGTTACTAGGTATAAAGCATTAGAATCAGGGGATGAAATGCTCTAGTTTTTCCCATAAAAAGAATGACATGCGAAGCCAATGGAACGGAGGCTGAGGGTCAAAAGGTTCGACTCCACTACACCAAACTAGTATAGTACAAAGTGATAAAAAAAAGAGATAAAAACAAGGCAAAAAGGAAGCATGCACTACCACGCCCACTAAGCCCTACTAGGCTACTATCCAAAGAAGCTTGTTGCTTGCACGAACTCTCTCTAGGGCTAGGCTGTATAAACATGTTTACTTACCTCATGCATAAAATAAAACGTCATTCATTTGCAAAAACCTTATTTAACTATGCATTAATATATTATTAATTGTCTCGTCTTGTATTTGATTCTCTCCTTTTTTTCTAATATCGCTTGTGCAAATAGCTTTAATTTTACTTTGAAAAGAGATTTGATTTCAATTGGAGTCAAAAACAGGGAATTCGATTCTTCATGTATAGGGTCACAACCCACTTATATCCCAAGTTGATGGAATAAAAAAGCAACTTTTGCTGTCCAAAAAGGGTGTTTCTTTTCTTTTTATTATCTATTTTCCCTTTGTAATTGCAAACGAAACTGAAAAAAGTGGACAGGGAATTACAAAAATAACCTGAAAAGAATATAATTGAAGAATATATATTATATATATATATATTAATGAATGGTACGTAGAATGAGGCCAAAATTTTGGTGATGATAATGGAATCTTTGGAGAATCTGTGATGGAATTGGAAATCCTTCTCAGAGTGTGGGACAAACTACCACCTCCACTATGGGCACAAGATATAATAGATTCCATCCATTCGGAGTAGCACTTGTCAGATTCTTTTTCACTACCACCTAAAGCTTTTGCCATCCTTTGTATTTATACTTACGGAGGACACATACTTTTAATCCTTGCTTTTAAAACTTAAAGAACCGAAGATATTCAAATGAGAGGGAAAGCAAAAGGACCCATGAAGCTGAGATTACTAAAAACCATGATCAGCCCATAGAAACAAACAAAACCATGCTCTCATTTGCAATGCAGGAGTTGGGTCGACTTGATCCTACACAAATATAAGATCCAGTGTTTTGGGCTGGTCGATATCCAAATATATTTATGTGCATTAGGCCCAATGCACGCATGATTGGAGGAAGGAAGGGACGGATGAGGGGGAATGAATTTTTTTAATTTAATACAAGTGATAGTCTAAATTACAAGTCAATGCCCTTTTTCATTGGGTTAACACCCGATAACAAAATGCGTTCGGAGAGAGAAAATGAGACATGTGTGGGAGCAAAAATTACTCCACAATATATTAATCCACTGGCACCCTAAATTTGGGAAAGTTGAGCTACAATAAAGAGACATGTTCTCCTATTTTTTGTCCATGGTCATGCATGAATAAAATCATGAGATTAGTGGGACTTAATGGTCAAGACCTACCAAGGCAAGCATGTCATATGCCCATGATCAAAGACTAGCATATTTCATACAACATGGTAAAGCTTACATGATCACTCACTATCATGCCTATGATAGAGTGATTGTGCATCATGGAAAAAACCACATAATATTAGACTTGGAGTCCAAGACTCAAATGCATCCATAAGGCCAATTAATCCACCAACACAAGGGGAAAAATGTACAATATTATTCTAAAATTCTACTACAATCTTCTTGAATACTTACTGACTTGAATGTCAAAGTGTACTTTTGCATGTACCGCTCCTCTCATTGTTGGCAAGCAAAGACGGTGTTCTACTTCTAGACATTGATTACAAGACTACTTGTTGGAGGACTCGAAAATTTATACTCAGAGAGAGAGAGATGGTACGAAGAAGGTACGTGGCTATGGTTGGGCTTGTTGTGGTGCTAAGGCAAGGGCGACTAGATGATGGGTGGCTGGGCATATATGCCGGAGAACGGGGCTAGTCGGCGGTTGTTGGGGTGTTCTGGTTTTCGGTGAATAGTTTTAGTTTTGATGTTATTTTATTTTAATATTTTAATTATATTTAAAATAGTATTATTTTGTTTCTATATGGCGGTCCATATTAAGAACTCATGCATGTGTTTTGAAATCATCAATAATTGAATATAGTTTGAGAGTTATTATTATTTTTGTCGTATTTTATTTTGCATTTAATTTATTTTTGAGATAGTGGAGCGCCCTTCTGTCATCTGTATGTCTTGGAAAACGTTGACTAAGAATAGGAGCAGTTGATAAGCCAGCCACCTACCATTGACCAATCATATACAACGAATTATACGAAATGTACCGAGTCAGAAAGCAACATGCAGAAGAAAACTTCGATTACCGACTACGCGCTTTCTCATTCTCATATAAATTAATTTCAACCTTGAAAAAGTAAAGGCTTTCGTTCTTTTGGCTGTCTTTATTTATTCCCTATCTTCTTTAGAAAACACAACTAACTAATAGGTCTTGTTTTTTTTCTTTTTTTCTTTTTGGTGTAAGCGCTTCATTTCATCCAATCCCTCTCTCTCTCTCTCTCTCTCTGGTGCTGATTTCCAGAAAGCAAAACCAAATGTGTCCTCTGAGATTCATCTTGGTGTTCTTTTCAGCGATTCTTGCAGGATATTGTGCATGGAGGACGGTTCGTTCTTCTCCCGGAACTGACATCAACTCACAGGATTCGACCGATGAAAATATACCAACCAAAAAAGAAGAGTTCAATTTGAGAATGGTATGCTTATTTCCTTCTTCTTTTTCTTCGTCAAGTAATATAATTATCTGTGTCATTTTGTTAATGTTGGTGAATTGAATTTCAGATGACTCAGAATGTCTTCTGGGTACTTGTTGACATGGCCAGCGGGAGATACTTGTGGAGGAAGATGAAACAAGAGCAAGTCAAAACTTGTTAGCCAATTGTAAATGGTTTTTTTTTAAAATTTCTTTTAATCGAGGGTATATTACTGGAAAAACATGCAAATCTTCTTGATTTATTTTCTTTTCTTTTCTTTTTCGCGGGGAAGGACGAAGGAGTTGATGATTGTGTTTGGTTAGAGAGAAAAATATATGAGTTACCATTCTGCAAATGTAGTGTCAATTTTCATTTACCAGAAAAGAATGATCAAATTTGCACATACTTTTGAGGAAATTGAGTGGCAACTGATTGGTGCAGCCAAGCAGACCAACTCCTTTCTTTTAAATCTACTTTGACAAAACAAAAATATTGGTACAGAATGGAGATTTAGTGCACAAAGATCAGCCCATAGTATACTCCTGGTCTAAAAGAACATGAATTTCTCATCTACATTTTTTTGCAATGAACCAGTTTACACAATTGTAAGGATTGTAGTCAATAATACAACATATGTACAACACCTTCTTTAACCATTAAAAGAAAAAAGCAGATACAACACATTTGCGTTACAGCCGCGGTTTTAGTTCAAATCAACTTGTAGCTTAATAGACATATACAGGAGAGTAAGCAGAGCACCTTGTGGAAGTGGTGCAAATCTTGCAAGGTTTGAGCCAACCCACATGGCTACCACCACCAGAGCAACTATATTGCTGCTGGTTTTTCCACAAACCCAACTTGCAAACGACAGGCACAAAGTGAGCAAGATACCACCTCTCCCACCTAAAACCCATGCAATTACATAACCAATCTTATATCCAGCATCCAACTTCCTGTCAAATAAGGCCATCAGGCTACTAAAAGTGAGAGATAAACGGGATCCAAATGTCTGCAACAAGAACAGAGATACAAAGGCAGATCTAAGCACTTCACTGAAGGAACCTCTTTCTTGCACTGCCTCTCCTTCTTCAGTTGCTTCATCAGTTTTGCCATATGACGAACTTTCTTCATTGGCATGATAGCGTTCCCAATGTCTCTCCTGTTGCATTTTCTGCCTCACTTCAGCCCACTTATAGATCCTTACTCCATCTTCAAATTCAGGGCTGTAGCTCCATTTTCCACTGTATTTCCTGCCAGTGTCCTTTTGAAATTTAAGTTCTTGGTCATACTGAGTCCTGGTTGCTTCATTAGATAGAATCTGTTCATAAGTGACATGAAGAGTCCAGTCATTGCGTCTACTAAACATGAACAAAAAAGGAAAAAAGGAAAAAGAGACTTTTCCGGAAAAGAAAATGCTCTGCTTAGACATTCTATCATGATAACAGCTCCAGTCAAGGACACAAGACACTTACGTCGATAACCAAGGTTGATCTGCTTGTTCTCCTAATTCATTTGTGGTTCCAGGGAATTCATAAAGAAAACAGTCAGGTATTGGAAATTACATTTTCTTTTAGCTATTTAAACCATTTACCTCAGGGTAAATTGGAAAACATATGAGATAAGAGACAGAATGGTCATAATAGAAATTAGAGTTCTAATTTTTACGAATGCAGTTATTAGTAAATTACGAAAAGGAAGAAAGGACTGCTCAGGAAGCAGGAAAGTCAGGAGTAAAAAGAGGAAGTGATTTACTTCAACATCAATTAAATATAGATGCTAAAGAGACAGAATGGTCTTCTCAACGGATCAAAAGAGGTTTCCTTTTTTTTTTTCTCCAGTTACAAGAGATTTCCAGTTTTACATTCATATAAAAGCATCTATTGGTACATAGAAGGCAATTGCATCTGTAACATGATGGAAGTGGGGGGTGGGAAGAGAGAGGGTTCGGGTGTAGAGGAGGAGAATGGATTGGCTGAGAAAGAAGATGAATAATAAAAGAAAGAAACTGATTAAAATTAGAAAACAACTTAGGGTAGTGTACAATGACATACCATCCTTGGTTCTTCAAATTATTATTAAAGTTCCTTAAAAATGATCTGGGCATATTAGACATTTCACTGAGGTCCAGTAACAAAGAGGCATAATAATTATAATATCAAAAAATACAAAAGCAACAAAGTTAAAGAAAAAAAAAAAAAAAAAAAAAAAAAAAAATAGTTACTACTCACCTCATATGCCTGACGGATACTCTTGAACACCTCTTCAGCTTGAGAATCTTTGCTAACATCAGGGTGATACTGCAATAGATATGCAAGAATGCATAAGTTCTTAACTATTAGCCTCTGCTTTATAAAGTCCATAAATTGCTTGAAAATCAATTTCAGTTAGACCTCCTAACTGCATGAATGCAGTAGGGAAGAAAATATTATGGTTATATCCACAAATCCAAGTGTCAACATATCACAACAAACCAAGGATGTCAGTGCCTCAGGCATTTACCAGTCACTAAGAAAATTACATGTCAACACACACGTGCATTCCATTATATCATACCTTGCAATCATTAATAAGCAATACAGCATACACAAACAAAAACAGATTCCATGAATCCCAATTAAATTGGTGAATTTGAACACGTCTTGACAACAGCTTTAACCAACCAAATCAGAAAAAGCACATGTCATACATGTCAGTGTTTGACGAGACATCGTCCATCATGGTTCTACTATATAAGTTGGAGAAGGGAGCGAATATCTTTGATAGGTTGTGGGTATGAATCTGTGTGACTGACTGTGTCTGCATAAGTGTGTGTGTCCTTTAGTTTCCCTCATGGAATAAACATAATGAAATAACTACAAACATATTTCACAATAGGAAAGATATATTATATTTCCCTCACACATTTTTCAAGTAATGAAGTTGAAAGTACCCCAAAATTGTCCAACACAAGTGAATATAAGTTCCATAAGTAGTCAATAGACTCAATACACGGAAAATCAATGTGGTGAAGATGGCTGCACTTTCCTCATAGGTGTAACATGGGACACAAGACCTCTTCTTTCATTTATAATGCTATCTATAAGATAGTGTTTGGTTTATTGGATTAAACTTTGGAATGAAATGGACATTCCCATCAACGAATCCCCCGAAATGTGAAATAATACCAACTGCACTCTTTACCAATTTTCAGTTATCTTATCTACTCTCAAACTCTCTCCAAACTCCACTCTTACCTAGATTCCATCATACCAAATCTGAATTACATTCATTCCAGAAACCAAACACCACCTAATGTCAAAGGGAGTTCATTCCCTAGGGATCAACCTGATAAGGGGTTTGGGAGAAAGGGCTAAAAGAACTAGCCCAACTGCATCAATGCCTCTTAAAATCTATTCATCACCATAACGATATACATCTATGCAAGACTTAATGGGAAATTTAACGAAAAAGAGAACATATGAAGTACAATACAAAACGGAACACTACGTTTTCCCCCACAACAAGAAAATAGAACATAAATATGAAATTTTATCCAATGTGTATGAATGCATCTCTGTACCCTCCCAAGCTGATCTATGTAAATGTTATTGCTAAATCACAAGGGGGATCCTCTGAGAACACATTACTCTCAGCATGTTGTGAAATCCCGAGCTCTACAGAGTAGAACTATGTTTGATATACTCTAACAAGCTCAAAACACCAGTTAATCATTTGGCCAAGGGACCTCACATCCCTTATAACCCTTGTAAAGAGGCTCTAATGAGGACTCCAACCCTTCATACACATCATCATCTCCACCAAGAGTAAAGTTAATTTTATCAGTAATAAATCCAAGCATCAGGTAATTAGCATTCAATTATGCTTCTACAAATTCCTTTTATTTTATGTTTTATAAGATATGATTCTATAAATTATTTATCCCTACAAATGTATACTTCTGTACCACAGATTCTTTGGAAATGCTATCAAGTTCCAATCACAAATAAAATAATAATAAATTTTTATTCCTAAAATACAATGAATCGTTAATGTTGCAAAACTGCAGAACTTTACAGGGTGACCTCTAGGGTTTCTTAGGAACCAACCAAAACTAATTAAAGAGAAACAGAGGCTAACCACGAAATTAGCGGCAAGTGAATGAGTGAGAGAGTACCTTACGAGCGAGAAGGCGATAAGCCCTCTTGATTTCGGCGGAGGTGGCATGGCGTGAGAGGCCCAGCACGCCGTAGTGGGTCTGCTGGCCGTTAATCATGGCCCATGATGATGATGACGACGACGACCACGATGATGACGTTGATTGTGGGGTCCACCGGCGAGTACGAGTTCTCCCTCTTCTTCTACGCTGAAAATGACATGGTAGGGAAAACAAACGGCTGAAATTAGAATAGAAGCCACCGGCACCGGGGCTGCCATTGCCGCCGCTGATGGGGATGGGACCCACCAGGAGCTGCTGCGCCACCATTATCCTTCGTTCATGTATATACGGCTACTACCTACTGTCGTCTTCGATTTTGCGATTCAGTCCATTTTCTAACTGAATTTTGTCTAATAGCACCTTACGAGTGGAGTTAAAGAAAAGCCAAAAAATTTCAACTTTTCTTCATCATAAAAATATAAAAATAATAAAAAATTTAAAATAAAATAAAAAGAGCCAAAAAGAGTGGCCACATTTAAAGCAGGTGTACATCGGTTCGAAATCAATATAATTTTATCAATTTGTATTCGATTTAATATAGATTGGATTATAATTTTTCCAATCCAATCCGATCACATTAGAAGTTTAAATTCAATCCAATACAATATCAATTTGACCAGATTGGATGATGAGATTTCAGAAAGAAAAAAAAAGATAATAATGAAATATGAAATATTTATTGTCAAGTTTAATATAATCAAATATTTTAATAGACATAAATGTAAATTATAAATGAAATGTTAGATAAAATTATTTTGAATTTATAATATATTAAACATAACTCCATCAAATTATTTAAAATGCTTATAACTTTCTTAAGGAAAATCACCTAATGAGCAAAATAAGCATGAAACTAACTAGATATGAAAATGGACACAAGCAAATCCATCATATGATCCAATCATGTTGGTTTTGGAAATTATAGATCCAATTCAATCCACCAAATTATAAAAACTGATTAAAATTGGATTGGGTTGGATTGAATCTGTTGGTTTGCACGGATTTAGTGGAATCTTGCACACCCATAATTTAAAGGTTAAGATAATTTTAATTTGAACCCTCATATTCACACCCACCTAATAGAGGTGGCATCATCCAGATTAGATTAGTTTCACTTAAAATTGTGGACGAATCAATTACAATAAAACGATTTGATTTAGTTTCATTTTAACAAAAATTAAAAATCAATTTAGTTTTGCACAAATATTTTTTTCCTTTTGCATTTTTTCAAATTTGCTATCCAAATTACAACCAAAAATAAAAAAATAAAAAATCATAATATGCTACATAGATTTTTCATTTTCTAGCTTATCAAATCATCCTAAAATTCTTTGACAAAAAAACAACCATCCTAAAATTCAATATGCTATGAAACCTTAAATTTAATAACTAATATAGTTATAATTCAAATATCAATAACTTTAAAGTTCCATCGAACTTCAAATTAAATTGTTGTAAAGTCAAGAATGGAGCCCAAAATGGTTGAGCCCACTACCTAATTGATTGAAGAAAAATAATGATGAAGTTTGTCTACCATATTCCCTTGAAAGTCAACCACAATTCACGGGAAGCTATCAACTTTGCCTATGAAAAGGCTTCATCCTTCTCTTGCATTTTACACACACCATCTGAGAAGAAATGAGAGCCCAGGTAGAAAGGAAAGAAAGGAAGAGAAGAAAGAAGAGAATGAAGAAAGATGGTGAGTGAGTGGAGAGAAAAAGATAGCAGAGAGAAATATCAATGAGCCACAGATATTGTAAACACTAAAAATGTAGCCCTATTATTTTACATAGTGAAAAGTTACTGTTTCTGCTCTCCAAGGACGTAGGCATGGCTGAACCTCGTTAAATATTGTATCTTATTTACTTTACGTGCAGCTCAATATTCCCGCATATACCGTTCATTTTACAACATAAACATTTATATCTAGTTATTGTCCAATGAGAGGATTACACATGCAAAATAAAATAAAATAAATATAAATATAAAAGTAGACGGTTCGATTCGGTTTAGCTAATGGCTCATTAAATCAGTTATAGTTTGTTTGATGGTACCTATTACTCGGATAACCCTAGTAATTTTAGAGCTAATACGTGTAACAAACCCCAACTTCTGGAAAGGATGCATTTATTAGATAAAAGGTTGACGCGGGCTTTGCCCGTTGCTCTGATGATTCATGATAACTCAACGGATCGCACAGCCATCGTGCTGGCGACGCATCATTCAAATATCTGCCCTATCAACTTTCGATGGTAGGATAGTGGCCTACCATGGTGGTGACGGGTGACGGAGAATTAGGGTTTAATTCCAGAGAAGGAACCTGAGAAACGGCTACCACTTCAAAGGAAGGCAGCAGGCGCGCAAATAACCCAATCCTGACACGGGGAGGTAGTGACAATAAATAACAATACCGGGCTCTTAAAGTCTGGTAATTGGAATGAGTACAATCTAAATCCCTTTACGAGGATCCATTGGAGGGCAAGTCTTGTGCCAGCAGCCGCGGTAATTTCAGCTCCAAAATGTATATTTAAGTTGTTGCAGTTAAAAAGCTTGTAGTTAAACCTTGGGTTGGGTTGACCGGTCCGCCTTTGGTGTGCACCGTTGGCAGGTCCCTTCTATCAGCTCTACGCTCCTGGCCTTAATTGGCCGGGTCGTGCCTCCGTTGTTACTTTGAAGGAATTAGAGTGCTCAAAGCAAGCCTACGCTTTGAATACATTAGCATGGGATAACATCATAGGATTTCGGTCCTATTTTGTTGCCCTTTGGGATTGGAGTAATGATTAACAGGGACAGTCAGGGGCATTTGAATTTCATAGTTAGAGGTGAAATTCTTGGATTATGCAAAATCTCAAAGCCAAACCAAACCAAACAATCACAGTCTGGTTTGATTTTTAAACAACAAAAAAGACGCACCCTTCCACCCAAGCAGTAACTTGATAGTTCTCTTCTTTCTTCTTTGATTTTCTCTTCAGGTTTTTTCTCTCCATAATCTTAGCCGAAAGGTACAAGAAGAATTTCACAACAAAAAAGAAAGAACGAATCAGGTGGGCAAAGAAAACTAAGGGGTTTTTCTAGTTTGGTTTCATGCGTTCATTAAATGGATTTTTGCAAGTCTTGATCCTTATAGGTACTGGGTTTCTCAATTTTTAAGTTTGGATTTAATGAGTTGTGCTTATGTAGTCTTGGTTTTGTCACGGGAAATTTGTTTCTTACTGCAGAAAGTTCTTCATTTTCATGATAGCAACACCAAATCAAATGACAATACGAACTTTCATCAAATCCTTTTAGTTGAGAACCCAATAATATCTCACTAATAACTGCTATCTATTTTGTAAAATTTATATAAAATTTATAATGCTCTACTATTTGATATGCAAATGAAAATTAGGTTAAAAGTCAAGATGAAAGTTTCTCTTATGATGTCTTTCTAGGAAAAATCCAATACAACAAACCCACACACCTTCATTCGAACCCATACTTAAATTTATGTTGCTCTAGAACCTCTCACCGTGATGGACACACTCTAATTAGCCGTTATGTAAACTAGGACGTGGCACACAATCTGTCATTGTCTACAATTTTCATCCTTATTGTATTAGAAATGAACTACAGTCCACAGTGGTGGGCATAGATGAATAAACATCCTATTTCAGCTATATTTTATTTCTTATGTTTTGGCAAATTCCTATGTACCTGCCATTATGGTATTATTAGAGCCCCATCATAGACTCCGAAAAGGCCACTACACTTGAACCTAGGGTCGTCACCATTTCACATGACGTTTGACATGACCAACTAGATAATTAGCTCCAAGACGCTTTAGACACCATCACTACTCTCCTAGCCAAACAATAAGTCAAACAATCCTCCATTAACACCCTCCAAAAATTCGTCGAGACCCTAACCACACCTCCCATGCCACCCTTTAATCTACCCTTACCTCTCAACTAACCCACCTCTAGCAAACAATAGTCGAGGAACTCTGGCATTTGTGAAATTCACCCCCATCACAAGAACACAATACCCAAGTCCCCACCATTAGCAAACAACCACCTTCATCCTGCATTCGTATTCTTCGGCGCAATGCACACTGCCATTTCATCCCCACCTTACCCATCCTTCATTCGTCCATACACCACCCCCTCAGGTATACAGTTATCCCAACCCACATCTCTTCCACCTCTACCTACACAATTCAAATGAAACCCCTTAAACTGGATGTACAACATTTTTCCAGCGAGGACCCGTATGACTAGCTTGCCTCTCTAAGCATTTCCTTATCTATTATAGAGTTCCTGAGGACTATAAAGTGATATTCGTTGGTGTTCATTTTAGCGGTGACGCCTCCTTATGGATATGCTGGTTTGAGCAACGATTGCCCAAGGATTGGACCATTTTTTTCACTTTGTTGCTTCAACATTTTGGCTCAGCATACATGAATGCTTTCAAATTCACCTTTTCTCACATTCAACAAATGGGAACTCTAGAGGAGTATTTTGCCTTATTCACCAAACTAGCATGTCAAGCACTTGATTTGACCGAGTCCCAGTTCAAACATATTTTTGGTGGGGGGCTAAAAGAATTCCGCTTTGATGTTCAAGCCTTGCAACCCATACCATTTCTAAGGCAAAATGCCTAGCCCTGGTTCAATACTAAAAATAAAAAATGTCGAGCCCATCACAATCCTTATTTTAATCGTTCCTTCTTTTAAATGTCATTCCCCTTCCACCACAACCCAAGCCCCCACCCCTTCACCCTTACTCTCACCCACTCTACCCTAACCATCAGCTCCATGACGCCTGATACAAGTCGAGGCCCAAGATCGATGAGCAAAAGGCCTTTGTTTAAACTGCAACGAAAGGTACATTGTGGCCTTGATTGACGTCGTTGAACCACATAAAGAACCTTTAGAGTTCCACGATTGTCCACTAACACCCAAGACCCCTGAAACACCACAAGCACAGGTGGATATGGAATTTACCATCCATTCCATCACTGGTCTTGATTTTCCCTACAACATGCGGTGAGAAAGGTTGGGCCCATTCATGTTTTCATGGACTCTAAGGCAACATTCAATTTCCTCCATCTAGAATTGCAAAAATAATAATAATAATTGGCTCTCCCCATTGACATTTTCTTTGCTCAATAGCTTTATACAACATCATGAGAAAAAATGGTCCCTCAAGGCATGTGCATAACCTCTTTGTGCATATTTAGTGGTATAACCTCCATTTTTGAATTGCTCGAAGTAGTTGGCTTTGATATTGTCTTAGGGGCATAATGGCCAGAAACATTGGGTGTCATTGAATGAGATGTTAAACAAAAGATTATGCTCTTCAACATTGGGGATCAATCAGATAGTTGGGTAGGCCTAACCTTTTCACCTACAACAACTATTATTTGCCAACTTATGGCTCGAACTCTCAGCATTTAAAAAGAAGGGTTCTTGGCCCAACTTGTTCCTTCTTCCCTTGTGGCCTAAGATATATGAACATTTCTTTAGAAATCCTCCAAGTCCTCGAGCAATTTTCAGATTCATTCAAGCCACCCACTCAACTTCCTTCTCACACCTCTAGGTGGACCACCATATTCCCTTAGCCCAAGGCACTTCTCCATTCAATATAAGGCCCTATTGTTACTAGCATCTACAGAAGACTAGAATTGAAATTCTTGTCTAGGAAATATTGAATCTAGGTATAATCCGGCCAAGCTCAAGTCCATACTCGTCTCCCGTCCTCCATGTCTGCATAAGAGATAGCTTTTTGCAACTATATGTTTACAGAAGTAGGGATTTCCTGAGATTTCGTTAGTTGAAATTAAGGAAATTTAGATACAAAAGCAGATGGCCATATTCCATAATGGGATCCCTGAACATTCGCTCTTACACTAATTCCATCATCATTCCTATAGAATCCAAAAGAGGAAACATATATAGGGAGATATCTCAAGATTTTCCACACAATTTGTCCAAGTTCTTTTCTTAGGGCATAAATATTAAACCGAGGCTCTTCTTTTGCATAAATATTTCCATGAAAGTCCATGAAAAATAAATATTTAGTTAAATTTATAGTGCCATCGTAAATAATAGTAAATAATAAATTATCATAAGGAATATGAGCCAAATAGTACATATCATTATGCAAATAATGGAGTCCTTATAAATTAGAAGAAGAACTAGTTTGCCATATAAATCCATCAAAAGTATTACCCATATCATATTTCATCTTCATCACATCAAGAGAAGACCTAGATTGAGGAAAGAACTTCTCATGCAAAAGCTTAACCTCTTCCTCAAAATTAAAATCAATGATGTGAATGATTTCCTTAGGCTAAGCAACTTTATTAGTTGAGCTAGAAGCACCTCCCAAAGAGATAGGCTCAAATGGATGATGAGAAGAAGTGCGAGCATGGAGACCTAGTTTGCAAGTCATTGGAAAAACATAAATAACATCATAGTTAGGAAAAGGCAAATCAAGATTATTAATACAAAAAGCCTCATGTAGATAGTGTGGTTCGTCATCAAGTCGATGCACCAGCAAATAATGCTTCTCAAATTCCCTAAAAGGACAAGTATCGCTAAGCATCGTTTGGAAGAAGAAAAAAAAAGATTTTTCATGCTTGTTGAAGAAAGGAGGAGGAGAGGGAGAGGGAGAAGGAGGAGAGGCTAAACAACATTTTGTTTTTTGCTCAATTGAACCTTTTTGTTTTTAACAATTCATTCAAATGGGTCCTTTGCTGGGTATTCTTTTCTTTAAGACAAGAAACAAATAGATATTGGTTATTCTTATTATTAAAAAAAAATCTATTTCATTGCACTATAGGTTGCTGCCTAGTGTCAAAAACAAGGTTCAATTGAGCAAAAAACAAAATGTTGTTCAACCTCTCCTCCTCCTTTCTTCAACAACCATGGAAAAAAAAATTCAAAAAAAACACATGCAAGTCACCCTCCTCTTCATCTCTTCCTCCTTAACTTACCCAAGTTAAAGAAAACTAGCAAAGAGACTTGAGTTAAAGGAGTTGAAAGAAAAAGAAAAGAAAAGAAACACTTGTTGCTTTGTAAAGAAGCCATGTTAGCTGTTGAGGAGGAATGACTCTTGATATATCAAGAGCCAAGCAAATGGGCTTCAATTGTCGTTGGGTTGAGTTTGTCATGTGTTGTATTCAACATGTTTGTTTCTCCTTGCTCCTAGATAGTAAACCATAGGCTTTTTGTATTCCCCTCCCATGGTTTGAGACAAACAGATCCGTTATTCCCTATCTATATCTCTTGGTCAACGAGGTTTTATATCGCAACATCACTGGGGCAGTGGATCAGGGCAGGCTTCATAGTATCCAAATTTGTAGAAGGGGCCCTGGTATCTCGCATATGTTATTTGTTGATGATGTTTTATTTTTCATAAGAGCCACCGAACATGATTGCATGAATATTATGAAATCACTTGACGCCTATTGTGAAGCCTCAGGTCAGGTAGTTAACTATACATAAATCAGCATGCTTTGGAGATGAGAAAAGTCTTGAGGGTTCCGGTGTTGGACAATCTATTGATCTTTTTGGGACTACCCTCAAATTGAGGAAAGTCAAAACAACAAACACAAAAGTATATTGAGGAAAGGATTTCAAAAAAGATACAAGGTTGGAAAGCTAGTTTCCTCTCAAGGCAGGTAGAGAAGTTCTTATCAAATCTATGGCTATAGTTGTCCCTTGTTACCCAATGTCTTGTTTCAATTCCCAAAAGGAATTTCCAAGAAAATCAATAATGAATTGGGAAGGTTTTGGTGGGGGGCAAATAATTCATTGAAAAAGTTGGGATGCCCTTTGTCTTCCGAAACAAGTGAGGGGTTTGGGCTTTCGAGATATTGAGACTTTTAATAATGCTCTCTGTTGTACCTGAAGTGTCTCTAAGGCCTACCCTTAAGAACCCAAAGTGGACTTAGTCCCAGCTCACTTGAGGAAGTGACTGGCCCCCTTTAAAAACCCATAATTGGCCTCCCCTAACACTGGTCAAGCTCGATTGAGACAAGTCAAGGCCATCCAGGCCCATGAAATGACCAGGCACCAAGGCCTCACGCATGAGACCATGTTCTGCGCCTTTGAGAAGGCCCAAACCTTGGCACCGAAGCCCACCAGACTTGATCCCAAAAGGTGCGTTGATCCCATAGCAGAAACAACCACGTGCCATAATCCCGTCGATCTCTCAATCCGAGGATGCTACGTCATCAGAGGTCTAATAGTCGCACATCAGAAGAGAACAAAAAGAGGGCTCCTCCTTCCTAATATAAAAAGCAATACTTTTCAAAAAAATAGGTAGCTGGAACTTTCCCTCGACTTAAGAATACTACTTATAATAATTCTTTTGGGAAAGATCTGACTTAGGCATCAGAGAGCGGTTGGTGGCGCCACACCACCTCTAGTGACCTTTTCTTGTCTTATCCTTACGGAAGTCAACATCCATTGCCCATGGCACAACGTTGCTCCCCAAAATACAAGGAAAAGAAAGTTCTACATAAGTGCGTTCTCGAAGCCAAAAGAACCATCCTTGAGAAAGGTTGGGCTGAAAGGTTTTAGGCGCACTATGAATTGGTGGTGCAAAAATCAAGCATCAACAAACTCTTTCCCAAGCAGTGCTGGTGATTGTGATGTAACCCGAATTTCTCTATGGGCTTGTGTGATCAAAAGGAAATATTTTCCAAACTTTGATTTTTCATCTTGGGCCTAGATTAGCTTGTTGGAGGGTAGGAAACATTTCTTTAAAGGGTCTAAGTGGTAAATTGGAGATGAGAGCCCTGTTCGGATTTTGTTGCGTCTACCCAAGTGTAAGTAGTCACACTTAGTAATAATCTTGGAAGTTCAAGTATGGTATCCTCAAAGAGTAGGTAGACAAATGTCTGCACACAAATAAATAATTAAACGTACCAAAATAAAATTAACAAGCAAAATGGAAAATTAATTTGATTTTAGTGTTGTAGAGATTGAGTTTATTAAAAATGAAATATCAATAATGGAAGTGTTAAGGCATCAAGGTTCAATTCTTTAAGCAAAATATGTTTCATGCTCTTTAATCCAAATTATAACTCGATTAAAATTATCATTGAGAAACTTTAACCGGAAGATAAAGAAATTAAAACCAATTTAATTTTTCAATGTTATCTTTTATTAATGATTGTTCAGAAAATGGAATTGCTTAATATTTAATTTTTTTTAATTTAAAAGCATTTTAAGTTAGTTCTTAACAATGAGAAAAATATAATTGAACTCATGAAAAGATAGTAGCACTTAACATCAATCAAAATAAAAGGATATGAAAATATTGAACAACCAAAAATAAAACAATTTAGTAATTCATACCGTATATTGGATTAAAGAACAATTCACAAACTTACTCAAAACACATTCCCTTTAGCCTTAGCTAGAGTTCTAGCAACTCATTACAAAGGAAAACATAACTAATATGAGATGGGGACATGTGAGATTTATCCAATGGATAAAGAAATTATCTTTATTAAGCCAAATTTTGATCATAAAGTCCCCATCTCATATTGTTTATGGCCCCATACCAACGATGGTGAGCTCCATTATTGACAGGGATGGGAATACTTGGTTGCTCCAAAGTATTGAGCACCTTTTATCTCAAGTTGAGGCATATTGCATTAAGGCTATTCCTCTTTGTAACATGGATGAACTGGACCAACTTATTTGGCCTTAGGAAAGAGGAGGCTACTACCTAGTCAAGAGTGGGTACCACTCAGCTTTTTATGAATGATCAACTTCTCTCTTGGTACTTAAGTACTCCTTTCATCAAGTGGAAAGACGAGTTTAGGATACAATATGGAATTTGACAGTGGTCCAGAAAATTAGGAAATTCCTTTAGAGAGTGGTGGCTGATGTTATCTGTGTGAAGGCTAATCTTCATAGACAAATCCTAAGTGTCCTGCTCACTTGTCATTTTTGATGTGTCTGTGAGTGGAATGCATTTGGTTCGATCCCCTTTTGAA